GTAGTCTATCTATCTTTCATGATATGAAGGATTACTCGCGAAATAAGCAGTGTGATATCCCCATTCATGGGTAGTCGCTTAATCGGCAGTATGATTTCCTCATTCCCATCTGGCATATCTGTTACAAGCATAATGCGAGAGTGTTCGACCACTCGTCTTCTTCTCCCTCGGGAAGTCAGATAGCAGGAATAGTATATCCACTACGCTTTGCGCCTCGTATTCCTTCTTTCAGGCCGGGTCAAAAAGCATCTATCTGGATGGCCTTGCCTACTTATCTTCCGATCAAACTTCCAACACATAAGGAGCGGAAGCCACTCGACTGATAAGGAAAGGGCTAAAATCGCTTATTTGAAATAGCTGTGGTTCTTCCTGTATTGCTCCTCTTATGGAGATAGGGACTAGTTGAGTTTCCTTCACAACAACCAATATATTATTTAGAAAGAGTTTCTTTGTTTTTGCTAATCTATAAGGGGCTTCCATGCTTCTTTCCGCCTTCCAACTTCATAGATTCTCTCTATCTCTATTTCACTTTCAGGGGTGAGTATGAAAACGCCATAGGAAAATCAAAAAGAAATGAAACGTACCGCTCATTATGCTTTCCTCTTCCTTCTAAGAAGAGAAAGCGATAGCTTTGGCGAGAAAGGTAGCGGCACTAGCACAAAGCGTGGACTATTTCCTCGTGATCGTGGATTTCTTTCGGGATTTGATTCGCTTAGCTAGTTGTCCACTAGCCCTCCCTTTCTGAACGATCTCCCTTTAAAGGATTAGCTCTTGTGCTGAGGTTGATGTCGCTTAGCGAAGTGCTAAGGAATAATAGAGCATACTATACTCACTATAAGACATCCTTACGGGAGCTCTATAGGACATCTATACGGTAGCTTTATAGGAAGACTACTTTAGTTAGAGAGTTCCATGAGCTAAGGAGCTTAGAGTTCCTCGACGAATCTTAGGTCTAACCTATAGTTTCAAAAGCCTATCTGAACTCGTCAGAATCTCCCCGCTATCCCTCTCTGGTCCTGGGTGTCCTCTCCGCAGTCCTATCTAGAGTTGCTAATGAAGATGATTTAGCTAAGGCTAGGAAGCTTGACTCACTCGACCAAAGGAAGAGGAAGCGAGACCTTTCTACTAGTGAAAGAGGTAGGAGAAGAAAGGGATGAGACGTCTGGAAAGAGAGGAAAATAATGTTTATTTATCCTTCTGGGGACTTCAAAGAGCTAAACCCCGGTCCTTTTTCTGCCCGAGAATGTATAATTTAGATTCTATTCTATTTGGCTCTATATGGCCTTCTAATGCTCCTCATGTGGATAATCCCATATGAAGAAATCAAGGTGGTTTTCTCAGTAAGAATCTAGCTGTCTGCTCGCTATCTGCGTCTCGTGTAAGGGCATAAAGAAGTGACTCGAGTGAAAGGAGAGGTTAGAATAGACTCGACCGTAGGTAGGGAGAGGTACAAAGTGACTCGACTGAAAGGAGAGGGATCTGGCTATGAGACTTCACGAGCGAGCTTCTTCCGTAGCTGCTAAAGAAACGAAGCAAGTCGAGCGAAGCGAGGGGAGCTAACGCCTTTACCTTACATATAAGAGATTCTATGTTAGCACCTTAAGCTCTCTTTCTTAACTATCTACTGTACCAGTGAAGTAGCCCATGGGTATGGGATACGAGCGATTAAGAGTCTTATTGCTTTCACGTAGTCAATGTAGGTACGTACTTACTCATATAGCCAGCTATGAGTGACTACACGTACCTGCCCTCTCCTTACAGTCGAGTGGTTTCACTCCTTAACAGGACAGTGACTGACGTACCTTGTTCTTGATGTCTGACGTCGTTCATGCTATGCTCGAAGAAGGGAAGTGAGAATCCTCAAACTAACCAGCAACCAGCCAAGGCGGAAGAAGGGAAGAGTGGAATTAGCCACTCTTTTAAGAAAGAGGAACGAAACATACTCGCTTGACTCACTCAACAATAGGAAAGGAACGAAGTGGGGGAGACAAGAAAGAGAGGAAAAAGGAGTCAGTGAGTTCATAAAATAAATAAGGGAGAAGGCTAGTTTGATTCCTAGTTAGGTTTCCGGCTCGGTACTTCATTCGTTTTCTTTAAGAGTGAGTAGGTAAGGTCCAGTTGTTCGGGTTAAGATAACTAGTACGGCGGTTACTTTACGGAGAGAATAGAAGCTCGCTAGCGCTCTTTCTTATTAAAGAAATGAAGTAAGGTTAGAAGATACTATACTCGACTGATAAGGAGAGGGAGGATACTAGCTTTCTTTCAAAAGGAAGATGGTTGAAAGGGTCCCAACGAAGACTTCCGATCGGTAGGATACCTTTTATACGAAAGAATCATCTTTTATGAACTAAATAAGTCAGATGAGTTTGCATTCTTAAGCCAAGCCAGTGAGGTTCCAACTCCGCATGCCCTTACACAGATCTTCCGTCACTTTCATACGCCCCTATCACCCATTAGTTCATTTGCTCGCCCGAAGCCTTAGCATGGTTCTTAGTAGGATTGACCCACCCTTAGCAGGGTACCAAAGAACATGAGTATTCGCAAGTCTTGGTTGCAATTGGCTATTAGGGTTTAGTATCTAAGCGGCTGGCTAATGTCGCGAATTCACCGGATCTTTCCTTAAGTGAATTTCTGCATCAGTCTATGAGAAAGAATGGAGGATGAGACGCGAATCGAGTTCGCTTTGGTCTTCTCTGGAAGATCTATGATTTGGTAGCAGAGAAGGGTGTAGCTTGGAGCCCGCCATGTCATCAAGAAAACCTCCCTTCATCCCAGATGAGCTGAGCCCTGAACATAGAACCATGGCGGCGAACAACGACACTTCTTTCTAAGCTTCTTTGTAAGCCTTGACCGTCTCATCGGCTCGCGCCTTCTTTCTTTTTGTGTTACCACGTGAAAAATAGCTCCTGGCTACAACATAAGAGCCTAGCTGCTTCACTTAGCAAAGGTGGAAGTTCAGTCAATTACACATCAATAGAGACCCAAGGAGAATAATAGAAAGGCAAAGCATAGAATGTGGGGTTGAGAAACTAGTTTTCGAGAGGTTTCAAGATACTCGACTGAAAGGAGAGGGATGAAGTGACAATGAGGTCATTCAAGCATTTGGGCTTGCTTTGATGATGGGTAGGCTTGTTCCCTTCTGTGGGCTTTCATCGAAACAGGCCCAAGTATGAATTTGTAGGATGGTCCATGTACATGTAGGCTTGGGTCTTTCATTCGGGCCCTATTGGGGCACCCTGTGGGCCAATGCGTATAAGCTTGGGCTTTATTAACGTGGCTCATTTGACGACTCAGTACATGGATGTCACGAGTCCATTGGCATAGAATATGGAATCTTTTCCACGTAAGCTGGTTGTACAAAGCTTGTTTGTTCATATAGGCAGTGTGATTTGGGGATCTTTTGTTTGCTCCGCAAGGTAGCCAGAGCCAGCCAGTTTTTCACTAAATAGGCATAAGAGTATTTGAACTGCAGAAAAGTAGTGCGGAGAACTAGTCAGAATTGGGCCTGCCATCCAATTCGTGACGTGGATGATCCGCCGAATCCATTGCTTACTTCACCACGATCGATTAGGTGAAACGGTTCTGCAAAGTTTGTTTGTTCATACAGGCAGCGTGGTTATAGTAGTCATAATTGGGTCTGCCATGCAATTCGTACTGCATGGCGAGACTCCTCTACCACTCTATAAATGGAGGCTCGATAAGTGTCTTCACTTCATCAAATTCAAATAAAATCAATTTATTACTTGCACGTATGGCTATGGATGCTGCAAACAGGCTTTATGCAATTGCTGCCGAAATGGGGCAACTGCAAAATGAGATGGAAGAGCGCCGTAGAGTGCTAAACCTCTTTTTGAGGAGTGTTAGAACACCCAGGAAAGAAGCGCGCATTCGCGCTGCCAGAGAGCGTATCGAGGATTTGGAGGGGAGGCAGCAAGCGCTGCGGGCGGAGCAGCAAGCACTCATAGTGCAGGCTGTCACCCACGGGCACCGGGGAGACTAGAAGAGTCCGTCGACTCTTTTTCTTTTTTTTTTTTCTTAGGTGTTCTAGGGCAACCCCAGGCTCTTCCATCATCTCCGTCGTCCGATTCCGATTCTATGACTTTAATTAATTATGATCCGCCGGGTCATTCAGGGCCAAGCGCCGGTTCTAATTCGGTTTCCGTATCGGTTGGAAATGAAGGTTTAGGGCCAAGACTCGAGGGCGAACCCCTCCCCTCTAAAAACCTTCCACTTAATGGCCTTCCTCTGAACGGTGGTCTTGATCACTCACTATAGGGCCTTGAATCTGGGAGTCGAACAGGAGCTGGTTGCTCGTATTCGCTTGCTTGAAAATAGGATGATTCCGGGAATTCCCCCTCAACTAAGCGACGGCGAATACGAAGCCTTAGTCAAATCCTTTCTCGATCGCTCCCTCTCGATTAGGCATTATGGATCTGCCCTTAACACGGAAATTTGGGATCAAACTTCCTTAAAATAAGGTCATATAAAGCAAGACGCTCTTGACTTCATTGACGACTTTTTAACAAGGTTCAATCTGTCAGATCCACGTTCCCCTTTTGATAGAAGGATTTGTGAGTCCATGTTAAATTCTTGGAAAGATGACCTTAACCAACGCGCTAATCAATCGTTACTCTATTCCGAATTTCTTAACTACTACTCGCTAAATTGAATTGATGGAATTGCCCCTATAGAGAAAAGAAAAAGAGATGTCTGGCTACTCGCCGAAAATGCCCATAGTTGGTTGGTGGGGATTCATTCGCTTCAAATGTTTTCAAGATACCTATGAATTCTTACACCAAGAATTGAAAAGCGGACAAGATTCTTAGAGACGTTGAGCTCTTCCTGCAGTCTCACAGTTTAGGCTCTTGCTTCACCTTATGGAATATGGCATGTGAGAATAAGACTGGCTCCCCGGGTGAGGGTAGTCGAAATTCGGGACGTAGCTATGCCTTAGAAGGGATATATGTCCTCGTCGCTCTCTCCCGACTGAACTCTTTGTGATGAAATCGATTCCTAATAGCGGATTTCTCTGCATCTAGGGTTCTGGCTTTAATCGGCCTAACGCCTGCTTTCGATGGCAATCAAGGATTGATTTATGAAGGGTAATCCTTAGCTTACATAGCTGTAGATTGGTCCATTCCCGTAAGGGTTCTCCCTTATCTTTCTTCTTCCCTAGGCCCCAGAACCCCCGCTTCCATAGGAGTTGTAACTGGATTCTATTAATATGAAGCAATCTCCTTGGCTTATTGCTGGAGATTTTCACTCTGTCATTCATTGTGATGACAGGTTTCATGGTGCCCCTGTTACAAATCATGAGACACAGGACTTTGTGGAGTGCTTGTCTGGCTTACATCTGGCTGAACTCAAGAGTATTGGCTGTTTTTCTTTCTGGACAAATAAAGGTACAGGTGAGAGTAGAATAGCTAGCAGGATTGATAGGGGGATTGGGAATAGTCAATGGATGTTAAGGTATCCTCATGTAAGTAAATGGAAGGCTTACTAACATGATTCCAAGTCTGGGAAACATATCTACTAACAGCAGTAATAGTTGGAGTTTGCCCAATAACATAGAATACCATAGCAAATTTCCATTTAGAAGCACCTTTCTTGGAGTTGAGCTATTGACTTACCTTCCTCTGGAGGCAGGGAGCAACAAATGAAAAAGAGGTCAAATTATCTCTCTCTGGCGTAGGTTTAGGTGAATTGCTATCCATTGATGGGGAGGAATAAGAAGCCGCAAGCTAATGCTAGTACCTCGAAAGGTCGGGCTATTACTTCGGATGTTCGTGGACAATCTGCGGAGGATGCTCTTGCAGAGCTTGATGGTGATGTGACTCTAGTTCAACCACCTGCGTCCTTAGTTCACCCGTCAGCTGGGCCGATCTCTGCCCGGATGCAACGAGTGATAATGGATATGAACACTGCTTTGGGTCTCTCTGGCGCTGTTGCTAGTACTTCGAAGCCTACCAATGGAACAGTCACTTCTACCCAGATCTCGCAGCAGCCAACATTTCCTCCTGGTAATGTTTCTCGTCGCCTGGATTTGGGGAAGGATGTGCAGCTAGAGTGTTCGTCTCAACGTGGTGAACCAGTGGCTGCTGATTGGATTGGTCTCAGGTTGCTAAAGGCCCGTTACTTGCTGCACAGGGTGTTGCTCTGAACTTTGTTGCCCCTGTTCTGAGGGATGGCAATAAGATTGCGCGACTTCCTAAGTCAGAACTCGCTGAATGGTCTGAGAAATGGGCGTCTGGATGCAGAAGTCTTCTCTCTTGGAGGTGGATTATTTGCTTTCTGGAGTATCTGATCACTCGTGTTATGGGTAAAAATACCCATGACACGTGGACCAATGGCGTTACGACATATGGCAAGGCAAGAAGCTCCAATAAGACCAGTGAGATGCTGACACGTGGCAGCACATTGTTGGTTGGATGAAAATGGATGGATGAAGGAATACAAGCCCATCAACCCAACAGGTGCAACGCACGGATTTGCGACACTTGGCACGATCCTGAAGCCAGCTCAATCATGAGCACATATCCCAAAAGCCTATAAATAGGCCTCATTTACTCTCATTTGGGGGCAGAATTTCACATACAATAGAAGCTAGATTTCTCTCTCTAGATTCCTTCAGTTGTGGAGTATTCTTGAAATAGAAAGGAATATTCTTATTAGTATTACAAGTTTTGTAGCATTGTATTTTAGCCTTCCTAATTAATAATATAAATCCATTTTACCCCGAAACATTTGGCGCCGTCTGTGGGGAAGGCACTATACAATGGCAGCACACGTCCCATATGGAGAGAAGATACTTCATAGGGCCTCTACTGCGCCTCTGATGAGGCAGAAGATGAGACCCCCTCCCTAGAGGAGGACAGGCCACCCAGGCGGGAGATTCTCAAAAGGAAGCTCAGGCTGCTGCCCTGCCCCCTCTCCTGACCAAGGCCCAACTCAAGGATTTCATGTCTGAATTCAGGCAGTCTCTGGTCTCCCAGGTGAAGGTAGTTTGGTAAAACTCCACCCCTACTCACAAGGGACAGGGTCAGACCAAGCGAGGATGGGGCAGCCAAGAAGGCAAGCCTCAAGAGCCCCAAGAAGAAGTCTGCTAAAGCAACAAAGAAGTCACCTACGATAGATTGACTGAGAAAACCAAGTCTAACACCGTACTTATAGTGCCACGAAGGGAGGTTTCCCAGACCTTTTTGGATGCTAGGGAGTATCTAAGGGCCAAGAGGCAAGAGAGAGAGCGCATTGAGTTGTCTGATACAGCCTCTACTCCTGTCATGACAGACCCTACCGTCAATCAGAGCTCTCATCATCAGACTCATCATTCTGGCCAGTACCGCACACCTACTCCAAAGGTGAAGCAACAGCCCCATTGCATGGAAGAGATCGGACCTCAGCAGCTTCCACTTCAGCAGCGTGAAGGTGTTCCCCCTTTCCAACAGTTGAACAATCAGCTTGCAAGGATGAATGTGGGATGGAAATCACCCTTCTCCTTGGCCATCCTAACCTCCCCTACATAAAAGCATAGGTAATATATATTAAGACACTTAAGGTAATTGCTGCTTCATAGCGTTGATAGAAGCCTAAGTCACTTTGGGCTCACATTGACTATTTCAAGCATAGGGATTGCTGGACTGCTCCTGTTCCCAAGAAATGCTCTTGGGTCTTTTTTTTACATGATGCTGGTTATTTCCTGGTTCATTTTGCTAGTACTGATGATAGGGCTGAGGTCTTTCTTATATGGAGGCCCTCATTCATTTAACAGTAAACCTATAATTGTGAAACAATGGACTCCGGATTTTTCTTTTAACAAGGAGGTTTTAAGGGTGATTCCAATCTGGGTGCGCTTTCCTAGTCTCCCTCTCAATTGTTGGACACCTGATTCTTTGAGTAGAATTGGGAGTGTTTTGGTAGTCCCTTTGTTCTAAGATGAGTGTACCACCAAGCAGATGAGAGTCTCCTTTGCCAGGATACTTATGAAACTGGATGTCACTCAGTCCCCTATAATCTAAAGAAAGCTGGAGACTTGTCCATTAAGCGCCTCCAAATAGGGTCTTTCATCCGACGACGTAGAAGCAGTTCTTTCTCCCTCATAGAGGAAATAAGTAAGGTGGTATGTGGTGGTATACTCTATTTATCCGCTTATTGGAACTCTGTCTAATGACCTATGCATTTTGTTATCATTTCCAGATTGACCTTCACTTCTCTATTTACTATCCCCTGAATTGCTCTTCCCTCCAGTAGATATTTTTGGTCTTAGCCAGCCTTTTACAGATAGATCTTGCTAGCCGAGGATGTTCCAAGACCCTCTGCCACTGAATGAGATAAACTCTAAGGAGTATATCAAATAAACTATTCATCGTTTGGTTGAAGAAACCTTGGATAGGACCTGCCTGGTTCCGCACCTCTGGAGGTTTTCAAAGTAGCGGACTTAGCAGTCCCTACCCGAGTCAAGCTTCATCCTTGCCACCTTTCTTGAAGACCTTCCAACACGATGACCTCAGCTTCATGGTTGTAGCTGGTAGACCCGGACTAAGTTATAAATATTCCCGGAAGGGAAAAGGCATAGAAAGCATGCGGCTAAACTATCAACGATAGTTGGCTACACCTACATCGGATGAGGTATTTGATGAATCAATTTCACAACGGGGGCGCATCAACCTTCTTGGTGGAAAACCACGTCCTATTCCTATTGACGAGCTCCAATAGACTGATTTTATTCGGGATTCAAGAGTCACTCAATCTATCCATGGAGAATCGACGACCTCAATGGAAGAAGTCGTTTTGGCAAAATATGTTACGGCCGCTAACACTTATGTTTAAGCTGGACGTCATCCTATAGGCCTTCAAGAGAACAGTAGGGCAGAGTGTGGCAGTAGAATGGGCGGTGTTGCTCTTTATAGACAGCTTTTAGGAAGCCGCTCTCGGCCTTATAGGGCGCCCTTCTTTAGCTAGTTCGACCTCTGGAGACATATTTGCGTAAGAGAACACAGGCATGAATGGTGGAAGACGAATGGGACAGTTTAGCGGCGGGTTTAGACGGGGGCGTAGAGGATCAATTCTTTGTTGGTGATTCGTCCCCTGTTCATCTCCTATACTTGATCTTATAGATCTAATTCCCTTCAAGTGAATATTATCGTAAGTGATCACAGAAAGTCGAAGGGCGGTTCAAGTAGTGAATGGCTTAGTCTCGCTTTTCCTTATCTGGGCACACTTCGATCTATAACTTCATATCATGTACAATGTACAGGTGCTCCAGCAAAGGATAACGCCAGCATCGGTGCAATTACTCATATTTTGGTTTAAATAACCAGGCTGCAACAAAGTCAGTTTGAAGGAAAATTGAGCCCCCGGTTAGAGCGCTTTACCTATCATTTCTTAGAAGAGGGTCCGAAGGAGGCTCAATCTTTCACTATTCAGGAGTAAGGGAAATCAAATGCGATCTAAGCAAGACGCCCTGGAATTCCATTCTGTAGGGAAGGAGGACCTATTGAATAAGTCTCCAATCAATCGTAGGCGGGTGAGCGAATTTCTTTCTTTTTTGACTTTAGCCGATCTGATTGTGACTTGGATTAGTTTTCTATCGAATTTACATTTGGGCTCATTGGACTCTTCTATCTAAGCTTGAGCCCGAAGCGAGTGAAACTCGTCCTTCATTTCATACCTCAGTCCGGTGCCTATGGGTTCTAGCCCCATGACCCTTCGATTGAAAGAAAGATCTCCGCTCTCCTTCTTTCGAAGTTGTAAACTGGTCGAGTCAGCTTCGTTGCTATTAGTAGTCTCAAAGTCAATAAGGTATTCAATATCGACGAAATTCGATTAGGGGAAAAAGGCCCTTTCTAGAGGTTGTCAATCTACGAATTAGTGATCCAACTGGGCATCTTACATATGAATTCGTGCTCCAAGTATGGGCTCTTGCCCTGTCTCCATAAAATAAAGGAAGAAGAAGCCAAGACTAAGAGCTTGCTGTCAGCTTCTAGTCTCTATTCCTATCCGAGTCCCTCTTTAAGGGATAACCTACCTATTCCATGGTACCCACCTCCAAACAACTCCTAATTCCCCTAAGTCAATCTGTCAATCTTGAGACAATTCTCGCCTAACTAAGTGTACTTTTTAGCCTTTCAAAAAGGGAATTCGACCGAGAGCACCTTCTACTGCATCCAGTACTGGATAGGATGACACCCAACATACCAGAAACGGATGATCTGATTCCATTCAATTGGCTTAGATTCAATAGCAGTTGATTTTGGGCAGGAATCTGCAGGTACTTTCTCTAATGTGATATAGTTGGAAGTTCTTCCAGCTTGCTTGAAAACTCCGTGATTCAGACGTACCCAAGGGCTTGCCCGAAGGAGCCGCTTCTTGTAGCTGAGCACTCAACAAGGGAAGGCAGTAAAGCACAGAAGACAATACAGACAACATTCTGACTTCAAGCAAATACTCATCTGCAGCCTCTTAGTTGCATGCCACCTAATAGTAATTTATAAAAGTGAACCGAAAAAGAGTTGCACTAATACGATTGTCACCTTTATTCTTCTTCAACATCGCCAATCCCTAAAACGGACTATGTAATGTACTTTATCTGCTGGGTTACGGGCGGGCATTTTACCACCAAGGCATCTCTTCCTTCGCTAAGGCATTACATGCCAACGAACTTGGCTGACACTCTTTTCATGCCCAAGTCTTACTGAGCCCTCATACCGAAAAAGCAACCTTATCGATAAGCCAACATATCCGACGCATAGCAGCTCTGTGCGTATGCAAGCATCGACCCCGCATAGCATCATCCGACAATTTAGGCAACCCGATGTTCCGACAAGGCTGAACAAGAGTAATAGCAAGAGCAAACAAGAGAGAAGAGCTGATTTCATTCTAACCAGGGATGGATTTCTATTGAAAGCTGGTATGAACTCAAAAAGAATTGAATCCGGATCCGGAGGTGACTTCGCTACACTTCCTTCTATAAGGAAATCCCCAGTCGACTACTGACTTTCTCGTGACCCTAACAGGATTTTATTTGAAGCTGCCGATCGAGGAAAGGCTTAGAATCAATGCTTTGACCGGGAATGCCCCTTTTCTCTCATAGCCCTGCCCTAGTGGGAATCTCAGATGTGAAAAAAGGCTAAAGCCCTTTGCTACTGCTTTCAGGTATTCACTTATCAATGTTGCAGTTGATGCCGGAATAAGAGAACTTTCTCTTCCAGGTATTCACTCATCCCCTCTCAGTGGCAAGAGTGAGTAGATAGCAGAAGTGATTTCATTACTCATTCCTGGGATATTAGTGAAGCTCCCCCATTAGGGGTGTTCTCACCTGTGCTATCAATAAGATCTCCGATCTGTTGTCGGGAAAAGGGACCTAGCTAGATTCTCAAGCCACCCGCAACGGCCTTAGTCCTCCCAGTTTATCACTTCCCTCCGGTGCGGTAGATACTTCAGAGAGAGGGAGGGGAAAGCGGGGAACTCAACCAAGGAAAGGAGATTACTAAAAAGGCTCTACTACGTAGTTATAGTTAGGGTTTGGAAAAGTGTGATCCAGATCGATGTAATTGACTTTCGCAAAGGTTAGCTCACTAGAATAAGGTGCTGTGGCATCTCTATCAGCTGCTTATTCCTACTAATTAGAAGTGGGTGTTCTTCGAAGCTTAGACGAGTTGAATGGAAGACAAACTGTCACACCATTCTGAGGAAGGTTCGACTGTGAAAAGAGAGAAGCTGATGTAGAGGTATTCCATTCCCCTCAAACTATTGTTTTCTCAGGATCAGGGTAGTGAATTGGCACCGGCTGTTAGAACAGCTGGCGACCATGCAAGGAAAGTCTAAGTGAAGTAGTCCATCCAGTCCGGGGGAAAAGTGAATTCAATAAATAAGTAAGATAATTAGATGGCATAGGATTTTCATTATTGTGATAGTATAAGGGTGTAAAGTCTTGTATATCTTGAATAGGCGGCTTAATCAGATTTAGACTAATCAATTCATTAATTATTTTCAGTGGAGAACCCATATTAATAAAGACCTTGGTATATATATCAGGTACAATTCTTACGTAAGGCGGAGTAGTTATAAAATGATCATGTACGGGTGCACCTTGTCTCAATAATGATTCCACTCCATACGATGAGACTTATTTTGACTGAACTCTGTCTCTGGACTAGCCTCAAATCTTATTTCATCTCCCAATCACATACATAGATATAAAGATATAATAAGAGAAAGCATACATCTTTAATAAGTTGGCTACGATTAGTCACTTCGGAAGCCATTAACCAAAGCACCGGCTTTTGACTGCCCTTCTAAGGGAAGGTAGCAGGTCTCTTGGTAAACCCCTTGTCTCTTTCTGGTAATGGTAATAGTTGAATCCTTTCTAATGCCCAAGCTCTTTCTGTTGTAAGTGAAGAGAAGACGCTATAGGTCTTTGTTGGTGTGTAGAGTAGACGGTGTTTGAAAGAACCCTTTTTTGCCGAGCAAACTAGAAATTGCATAAGAAAGGTAGGTCGGATCAACGCGTAGAGAAATGCTTGATCAATGTTCAAGGAAAGGAATAAGGAAGGGTAAAAGATGAAGAAGAGCTATTCTTTTTAAGAGCTAACCATGCGTTCACAGTCGACTCAACAAGAGCTATCGGGTCACTCCCTGCCATAAGCCATGCCCTTACAAAACTGCTACCACTCACGGCACACTTCCTATATTCCTGGGCTTACCCTTATATTATAGGAATCCCGGTCTGGGAAGAAGGAAGTAGAAAGAGAGAAGAGCGGAGTCGCTCACTTGAGTAGAATGAAAACCAAGGCAATCCCGATTCAAGTGCCAATCTAAATTGGAAGGAAGGAAAGCAGCCTTTCCCTTTAATAATATCTAAGATATCACAGCTACTACTACCGAAACATATGATATAGCACCGTCTTATTCATCTGTACCTGAAACAGATTCGCTCACAGCTTCAATCTATTGATTGCATCTTCTATTTACTCTTCAATGTTCAAATTGAGGGTCAAAAGAAGGAACTTTCATTCATGGCCACAGATCCGCCGTAGGAGAGGATAAAAAAAGGTATTCTAAAATGATCGGATCGATGCAGTTTGGTTATATGATGATCGAAGGGAAAGCCTTTCATGCAAGAGATCCTATCCAGCCAGCCCCTGCTTCTTTAAAGCCTGGTTTGATAGCAAAGAGTCAATCGTCTGCATATCGAGCGTAGCAGATGTTTTTACTCAAGTAACTCAACATTTTCAGATCAAAGTAAGAATAGAAAATTGCATACGAGAAGAAGGGTTCGTAGACAGCCCGAAAGAAGGTCCTCTCTTCGTATTCTATAGAAAGACGAAATAGCGTAAAGAAAGAGCAAGTCAAGTCAAATAGCCCGGTTCACCAGGTTCTACCACTGCAGGGCTCAATCATGCTAGTTAGGCTAGATGCTTAATACATGCAAGTTTTCTTGGAAAAACCAAGGCGATTTCATTGAATTAGCAAGTCTCCAGACTGATTGACTGGAGCAGGAGAAGTCACATCACTGAATCAATCATGTCTCAACTGGTCACTTATTTCACACCTTTTTTCTGGTTCTGTCTTTTCCTCTTTACTTTCTATAAGTTCTCTCTCCTTTTTGATTTGGAAGTGAAAGTCTTTTGCTACTATCTAACAAGGCCCAAGTTACAGCGGGCTCTTTCTATTATGAAATGGGTCATATTTCTTTATTTCTTGGTCAGTTTTGGAGAGAAACTCTATTATAACTTATATAACTTATTTGATGGACATTCCATATTTGGTATTCTCCCATCGGAGCTACGGCTCCTGGAGAACTATCTTAATCAAGCGGATAAAGACCCAGAATGGGTTCAATTCGTACGACAGCGCCTACAAACCCAGGGACTCTCACCCAGGGAGTACGAGGTCATGGTGCGAAATTTCCTGGAAACAGAATTCTGCTTTGCAACTCGGGACCAGATTTCCTCTCTCTATCAACTCATTTTTTATAGTAGGGAGGATCCAAAATTATTCATTGATCCTATCGACCTGGATTCCATACTGAGGGTACACCTTGAACCCTTAGAATTTGATCACCCCGCTCTATGCCAGGTCTTGCAAAGTTTATGTCATGAGGGACAAGAATCCCCATTCTATTGCGAAGTAAAAACAACACAGGCAGCACATTTCCAGGGCTTTTTAAAACAAAAGCACCAAGCCCGATTGCGCCGAGAGTTCTCCAAATCTATTGAGAGTCTTGAGAGAAGGAACGCTTTTCTAAGCGAGGAAAACGCCTCTCTAAGAGAAAAACTTTTGATTCTCGACCCATAAAATTCTTTTTTGTTTATTGTTGAAAGTTCTGATTCATGTAGTGATGAAATTGTGATACAAAAAAAATCCCATTTCTTTTTTGGTTGGACTAACCGGCGATTTACAACAAGCCTTTCTTCCTTTTTTTTGCAAGAAGCGGAACTACAAGAAAACTTTCTTTATCTTTATGGATAACCAATTCATTTTAAAATATAGTTGGGAGACTTTACCCAAGAAATGGGTAAAAAAAATGGAAAGATCGGAACATGGGAATATATCTTATACCAAGACGGACTACCTATTTCAATTGTTGTGCTTTCTTCAATTTCATACCTATACAAGGGTTCAAGTTTCGATCGATATTTGCGGAGTTGATTATCCCTCTCGAAAACAAAGATTTGAAGTGGTCTATAATTTACTGAGTATTCGGTATAACTCACGCATTCGTGTACAAACCAGTGCAGACGAAGTAACACGAATATCTCCGGTAGTCAGTCTATTTCCATCAGCCGGCCGGTGGGAGCGAGAAGTTTGGGATATGTTTGGTGTTTCTTCCATCAATCATCCGGATCTACGCCGTATATCAACAGATTATGGTTTCGAGGGTCATCCATTACGAAAAGACCTTCCCCTGAGTGGATATGTGGAAGTACGCTATGATGATCCAGAGAAACGTGTGGTTTCTGAACCCATTGAGATGACCCAAGAATTTCGCTATTTCGATTTTGCTAGTCCTTGGGAACAGCGTAGCGACGGATAATTAAGATAGGTTCCAGTCCAGGGGACAAATCAATAGGAAATGCTATTTGCTTCGTAAGAATAAGAAAGAACTTCTATGAAATGAAAGAGTTTCACGGCGGATATCATTGAGAAATAAATAGGAATAAGTGTTATCGAACGATTTCCTGCCCAGTATGGAATGAGTAAAGAATCAAGCTACAAGTATCGAATCTATACGTGGTTTTGGTGACAAATTAGAATTTCATTTGAGGCTGTACACCGTGCTCCTTGTCATGCCATTTGGGCTTACAAATGACCTTATGTAATTTGATGAGTGATGTCTTTTCTAACTTAGAACTCTATTTATTTATTTCTTGTTGTCTATCTTGATGACATTGTTGTCTATAGTGAGTCCCTAGAGGATCACTTAGATTCCTCTCTTGGGTGTTCGGTTGCTTGTCTTTCTATCAATGCATCTACAGCCGTTCGGAGCAGAGGTTCACCCCCGCTTATTAGAGATGGTATCTACGATTCAAAGGCCCAGGGTCTGTCACGCTAATACTTATTTACAACCGGTCCTGAAACACCTGTCAAAGTCTGCTGGGAATGTATAAGTCTATTCTTTATGTATGAAGTCTCCAACTGGCTTGCTTGGCATCCTGCCATCTCTCTCAATCCTGTGGTACTCATTCCGGTCTAAAGCTTGTTTCCCTTCTTGGTCTGTCAATCAAATTAGATCCCTGCGAGCGGGGCAGAGAAAGTGTGTTTTTCCCATGAGCTTTCTCTAAGCTATTTCACGATAGGCAGACGCTAGCAGTTCCTTTTGAGATCAAGCAAGTGGAAAAAAAGTTCCATCTCGGTATTGTATTCCGTTTTTACTAATAGAAGCAGGGGACGATCACTCCTAAAAGCAGCCGTTCTAAATAAATAGTCAAACACGCATGGATGCTAGGAATGAAGCCTGCCAATGTCCCTTACAATAATATCATTAGTAGAAGAGGATACCCACATCCACGGCCATGAGTTCGATTCCCGTATGTAGCCGGCGTGGCAGTATGGCGTGCCAAAGTTCCCGTCATATCGACCTTGACCATCGTTCCCAAGGGAAATTGATTGAATGATACCCTAAAGAAGATACGGCTTAATAGTCAACTAGCTCTACTTATTTTATTAAACTAGATAGACTTACCTGACGAAACTAGCTTCTATTTCATATCCTTCCGGATCCTCACCTGCTAACCTCGGTAAAGTAAAAAATAGCTAAAAAAAAGGGGTGAGTACGATATCTTTATAACAAAGGGACTCCCGGTTAAATTAAATGATTGTAATGTCACTTAGTAGCTCCCACAGATAGAATAACCCCATCATTGGGATGCCAAACGATGGGTTAAGCTCCTACCCATCACGTTGATTGGCTTAACGTGCCAAAGCGCGCGCTATATAAGTATTTTGCATTGGATTGAGGCCCAAATTCTTTATGTTTATGGCAATAGCCGACGATTGAGCAAGAGCGGATTATTCGACAGCAGGAGCAGAAGATCCATCAACAGCGAGATATGAAATAGCCATTGGCGGCCCCTGAAGCTAATAAATAAGTCTAACTACTACCCCCCTTTCTTTACGCCAGAGGTGGCTTCTTCCCAATTCACCTAGTTGCCACTTGTCCTTGTGGCGCGGAAGGCTTTTGCCGTGCTTTACTCTCAAGCAGAGAGCCCATTAAGGCGGAGAAAGATAGACCAAAGTCAACTTTGATCTAAGAAGGGCTCAGCAAGAGCATCTGTTGAGGCGTCAGCGAGCGATTCAGCAATGGCAGACTCCTCCGACTGCAAACTATTCGATGGCGGATGCTTAGGCAAAAGCAGGAGATTATACTACATCAACTATCATGGCATCCGAGGAAGCGATAGCAGACTAACAAGCTGAAAAGTGATCCCGCTGTACCCGATCTCCCAGCACTGACATTGAGAGAAGAGTGGAACGGTTTTCCTAGTCAAATACCCGCAGCTCGGTAACAACCATAATCGAAAGGTCCAAATCTCCCCTGTTGCCCATTATAAAGATTCATCTTTGATAGGTAGGCCCTAAAGACAATCGATATAGTAGAATTGTAAATCAGCATCCATCATTCCTACCTGCAAGATGGGAGGGGAAGGGAGTAGTTGATTCGTTCCAATTCATTGGTTTCAATCCGGTATAAATATCATAATATGACGGGATCGCTGTCTTGACAAACATGAATAGAAATAGTTCTTTTGGGTATAATTGTTTTTTTTCCTCGACGAAAAGTTTGATATTTATAATGGATTGGGCTTACTGCAAGAATATGAATGACTCGCTTCTTCAGTACTGCTAACTATTATAGGAGGATGCCGCCCCCTCGGGACTATGTGATTTATAAATTGCTTCGGTTGTTTCATCTCGTGCAAGTTAGGTTTTGGTTGTATTGGCTGCAAGCGGAACGTAGGCGCTTTAGGTGTGTGTTGACCATGCACTCTCGCTTCGTGTAATGTCGTATGTATGATAGAGGTGGTGATTGACCTCAATGCTAATGGTTATCCCCAAGGTTCAACGAATGAATGAGATCGTACCCGGATAGAGATGATGGTCTTCCTCTGATGTCTCCAAGCCGGCCATAATAGAATAGATAGGCGAAGCAGTCAATAGCAGTCTGTTCTCGCCTATCGATAGATAGCAGGTTGCTTCCAAGCTAAAACCATTTGAAACAACAAGCAACGTTTTAGAATCTATTTTTGAAGTGAATAGGAGCTTACATTTCAATCGGAAATCAACGTCGGGTCCCGGCTATCCGAAAAACGCAGACTGAAGCGAAAGATCTATTTTCGAGCCTGCAAGCAACAACGGCTTTTCAGCCGTTGCGCGCTAGCTTGGGTGCCCCTTTCTCAAACTTTTCTATACTCTTATATAAAGGTAAGCCCTAGTTTTTTACGTTTTATTCGCTTGCTCTGCAGTACGAGCCTCATACAGAGCCGCGCTCCTTGAATATGATGAGAAGAGGCCAGACCCAACCCCGCCCTATTTTCCGTACCAATCCTTATTTACTACTACATCTTTTTTTGGGTGTATAGCTCAGTTGGTAGAGCATTGGGCTTTTAACCTAATGGTCGCAGGTTCAAGTCCTGCTATACCCAAACCTACCTTACACTCTACTATGAATAAGGATGCATAGTAGCCTTCAAACATGACTCTTTGGCCTTTAGACTCGCTTCGGCGACTTCGCCCTTTCAGTGACAAGGGGGGGCCCACGGAGCGGTAAGGAGTAGTCTAAGAGTGGCTCGGTCATCGATAAGCCTCTCCTTATTCATTCTATAGAGCGGGGCTGCGGACCAACAATCCAGCAAAAGGGCTTAAACGCTCCTCTCCTTTTATGAAAAAGGGGGAAGGTTTCATAAAACCCAACCTATACAAAGAGCTCTTTTCAGCCCCTACTCCTAACAAGTGAAAGTGGCTGGCACCCACCATATCTTGCTTCGTTTTATCTTGTATCGAATTTGATATATTATTTATTTGTTTATTCCACCACAAATAGATTTGCCGCATGGATTGGATAGAGACTGGGAATTGGATGCTTCCTCAAGAGCAGCTTATTCGAGAACAGCCAATGAGTGCACAAGAGCTGATAGGCCAAGAGTTGATTCCATTTCAGCGCTTACTATAATAAGAAGACCTGTTGATGCGGCGGCTAGGATCCGATCTCGCTTTCCGCTTGATAGGCCTCATTCAAGTAATCAGATTGCCCAGCATTAGAAGCAGTTTCCATCTTCAGGATGGATGGTTACACTCTCCTTCCCCACTCTTTGAGTCGATGACTGCTAACGGAATTCCTCACTTTGGACCTAGAGTCTTTTGTCACTTCCCTTGCGAAAAAAGGCACTTCTTTCAAGGGTTTCTCACGGGGAGACTGCCTTATGAGAGACTCCTTCTCATGCTGCTTGATAATGGTACAGCCCTTAGAGCCTTTTGCACTTGACGAACCCTTTCCCCCCTTTCGAAAGAGAAAGTACAAGGAAGGACGCACAGTCTATGATGGACCTATGCGCCTACTCCGCAAATGGGAAGATAGAGAACTCTCCCTACGTAGGGTGGGGAAGATAACTCGGAATAGGCTAGAATCTGGACACCTGAAAGCGGGGTTCACTGATCCGAACTCCCTTCATGGCTTTGCTTCCTTCTTGCCTGTCTTGAATCCGTCCTTGCTTTCTTGACCTCATCTCGATTTATCCTAGTATAGGAGATTGACGCTTTCTTCTATTATGAGATTGGCTTTGTCCTTCTCTCTTATATTAGATTCTCGCAATAGAAATGATTCTTATAGCTGATAGAAAGATCCCTTCCCCGCTTTACGCTCCTAGATTCCCTCGCTTCCGAACTAGCCGACGAGGGCTAGGTGAAAGGGCGTGGGAGAGCCCCTTATTATTTTGGCTTTATTGCTTTCACCAGGGAAAGCTTTTCTTGCTAATCTGGTGATATCGTAGTAAAGGTAAAGTAGCCAAGCCAAGAGGAATCGATTTAGCAGTCCATACCAGGCTCCAGGTATATTTAGGAGTGACCGGAGGAGCAAAGAGAACAACAGCAATCAGAGCTTCTCCCTCGGGGGACGACACTCCCTCGCCCCACTATGCTCACCCCCCTACGCTTTTTTCGGCTACGTGCGGGGTTCTATTATTAGTTTTTCTTATAAGAGAGAAATATGCAATGGAGCACCTTCCCAGCGGGTAAAACACCAGGAAATTTGCCGTAGTAGGCCGAGCTTTACTATATCGCCAGACTCGATCACAAGCAGGGGAGGTTCTATTGATCTATCTACGTAAAGGGAGCCGCACCTTTTAGCAGTCGATCTTGAACACTTTTATCCCTCTCTGATGGCTTGAGAAAGAGAGTCTCAACGGCTCGGCTGGTTGTTGTTAACAAAGCAGCGGCGCGTGAAGAGAGCCGATATTCTAAAAGTTCCAAAGTTCTGTCCTCCTAGTAGTGGTCCTCATTGCAGATAGTTAGAACGACGGGTGAAAGCGTAATTCAATTGTTAGGCATAAAAAGCTATATGAATATATTGTATCTATTTTTTAAATCGGAATTGATAGAGCGGAATCCCCTCAGGTTGAAAGAGCTATGCTAGCATTGGTCACATAGGCTTGAACCACTTAGGCTCGACTCTTTTCTTTGCAAGAATGCCTTGTGAAAGAATAGGGATAGGCAAATTAGACTGATTGAGTTAAGTATGCCATGCAAGTCGGCTGTTCTCGAATCATCTGTGGCACTTGCTCTTAGCCTTGATCTTTTTCTTTTTTTTGGGCATCTCGTAAAGGCTAAGACCACTTATTTCGCATCAACAGAAAAAAGACTGGCATCTGTAAGAGCAAAAGACCAAGATGTGCTATCTAGAGCAATCCTTCCCGCATCTAGAAATGACTTCAAACCTGAAAACAATTCTATCACACACGGCGAATCGAGTATTTCATTCTAGCTCTTTTGGGGACAGCACAAGTTGCGGACCTATCGAGATGCTTCCTTGCAGAACCCAACAAGGGCTGTTACTCAATAGAGTGAGTGGGAAACCTTGTAAACGCGAGCAGGAGAATAGAGATCGGTTCTGACGTCGAACAGGTTATCGACCCGAAAAGCTCCACAGAGCTGTCGTATGCGGGTACTACGAGGCCCACGACTTTCTTGATCGCCTCATTCTTGAACTGGGTGAAGATGTGGCTAAAGTATATCCGAGGGTACCATGATAGTCTGGGGTAGCGTATATTACGCTCGAGGTCTCTCGAGCCTCCTGTTGTACCAACTAGAGAATGACCCGTAGTTTTCTATTCCTCACCATCAGTGGAATTAGGAATAAGGTAATGAAATTCCGGTATGGACTTTTTTTGGACAGGCGGAGAGCAGTGCCCTATTGGTCTAATTCCTGCTTCCCCTTGGTATCCCATTTCATATATCGGAAGAGAGCTTCAATAAAGCATCCATATCAATCAAATTCCTTCCTTGCCTTTGGATTTTTTGATTAGTGGGAAGGCGCAGTGATTTAATAGTGACCCTACCATAATATCTATGGAATGACTCGATCCATGAAGCCTTTCTTTCCCAGTCTCGGGATCTTTCTCTCTAGGTACGGTTCGCCACATTGAAGTGAGTGCTCTACCCCTTGGTATGGTACCGGAAGCACTTGGTATTGGTAGTAGTCTAAATGTATTTCCCTACCGCTAGGAGTTAAGCTCAAGGAGATGAGGGATCTATTCCATCTATTCAATTTCCCAAAGCTCAATCCCTACTTACTGAAGACTTCCCTTTCCCATGCTTACTGAATCAAGCAATTCAACTTGAACTCTGGAGGAAAGTGCTCACTCTTAGTAAGTCCAGAAAAGTATAAAAAAGACAGACTTGATTCAATGACTTGACTTACTTACTTTTAGAGTAAGATCCAAAAGCTGCTGAACGACAAACCGGGGAGTGAGAGACCTTATTTTCAGCTTTCCCCTTCTTCTATTCTATTCTAATGTCTTCATATGAGTCTATTATTACTCTAGGCTATCCTAGCCCGGGAATGGAGCGAAAGAAAGAGCAATTTCAGAATCAGAGGCTGGCTGGAGAAGAGACTCTTTATGTTATGTCAGCTAAAGGAATTGCATTTAGAGTATACTTAGAGTAGTGGTTGACCGACCTGTACTGTAGGGCTTTAGCCCCGTCCTCCTCTCCTTATATGACATTCGTTCGGTCTAACGTGGTTCCCCTAATGGAGAAGCAGAGGAATAGTAATAGGTTTCGGACGACTGACTAGTGATGATTGTTCAGAGACGGCTAGTTCTTCTTATTCAACAAGGTACGAATATTTAGAATATTGATTTTCGGGGCACACAACAGAGATTTTAGGGTCTTCTCCGTGGCATCTATCTTCCGGGGACAGGTACCCGTCTACTGGAAAGGACAGTTTCCCATACAACATTGGGTGAATAGTTGAATCCACTGATTAGTATTCCACTTTCTTAGTTAGAGTCCCCCTTTTAGGGAGTTGACCACAAGTCTTTGGTCTCATAGTTAGGAGACTACCTAGCTGAGGTAGTAAGTGGTTGGGCTATGGTACGGCGACTGCTTGTTAAGAGAGACTCCACGGCTGAAACAGCCGGGTCGAATCAATCAAACGAGCCACAGACTCTTCTAAGCCGAGACCCCTTATAAAAAAGGTATGAACACGAGAGCCCTTCTTGGGAAAGCAATGGAAAGAAATACCCCTGGACAAAAACCAATGCTTTCTGGGTCATATTTCTTGTTTGGATGTTCCTTCGCCTTAATCCATAGCATGTTCCTGATCGCGAGTCAATACTTTTGAAGAATTGAGAAGAGAAAAAAGCTGCTCTAACCGAAGCCATTGCCCTATTTGCCTTTCTGATCTTATTCGTCTTCTATAAACATCACTCTATTCTCTCTTATGGAAACATCTATTGGTATTGGAACCCCTGTTCGACAAATGAACACTTCTTATTGAAAGTAGAGATGCGGAAAGAGCGACTTAATGAATAGTATGATCAGTTAGCAAGTCCTATTCAATCACCCGGCCTCCCCTGTCACGTATTTGGATCCCCTTCGGTGCATTGTGCTTCACTTCTTTCATTTAGCTACTCTTCATTTTTTTACCCTATGAGGTCGGACAACCGCTACATTTCTTGAATGGTCGCTGCCTACATTACTATTTATCCCTCTTTTCAAGGAAGTGAGTCTCAGACCCTATGTAGTTCTTGGTCATTTTTAGACAGGTGCTTTTGTGGTTCTTCACTCCAGCCCTTAAGTATTCTGTTCAAAAACCTCATCCTCATTAAAAAAACAAATCAAATCAGACTTGGAACCCCCAATCATGGCTACTAATAAAATCAGACTAGAAACCAAAAACCAGACGAAATAGTAGGTATAAAGTAAATTGCCCAATGTAAAATGAAAGGTCTAGGTCTTTATTATAAAGAGCTTCCATAAGCCGCTTATAAGGCAGACTACGGTGCGTTCCATGGTTCTCCATGACATATAGGTGCTTCCGGTAAGTAAGTAACGATAAGGCTTTTCCGTTAGGGTAGAAGAGGAGGCCCCTTATTTGATGTCTTTTAGATAGGATTGAGTCTTCGGAGAATCTCGAAGGGCTTTCTATATTTTGAATTCAGTCTGGCCAGAATGTTCTCATTCACTTCGTCGGACAAGGGACTCCCGATAGTATTAATGGATAGACGAGCATGAAGCTCCTGGCCGTCCTCCTGTAACGGGTGATAGGGTTAAGCCTCGGGAAAAAAAGGAGCAGCAGAGGAAAAATCAAAGACTTGAATGAGTTCTGGTCGATGAAACTGGATTAGGAATGACCAGTGCCAAATAAGTAAGTCCAACCGAAGCTTATTCCTGCAGTGCCCTCACGCGAATCCGACCCAAAGGACATCATAGTGATCTTAGGACTGAAACTATATGCTTCGGAAAGAATGGCTCTGAGAGCCAATCCAATGGCCAAGGCTAGCCCATCTTGATCAAGAAAGACGAGATGGTGCGGCTTCCCGCGGCTATGAATGCCTTAGACAGGAAAAACTTAAATCAATCCATTGTCAGACAAAGAAGATAGAAAAGACTGGACACTGTTGCTACAAAGAGGAAAGGCATCGATTTCTTAAAAAAGAAGAGTACCCAAGACTTTCTTCCTAAATATTCGTAGTACCCGGTAATACTTGATCATCCGAGAGTGTTCAAAAACTCTCTGCCATTTGAATTTGAGAGGCACTAATCGTAGTAGAGCTGAGAATAGGGTGGAACGATTTATCATAGTAATAATTTTGTATACCGGCTGTACCGATTATATGTCGGATAGGCGCCCGCCCCCAAGCCAGTGTCCATCTTCATGAAATGACATTGGTAGACGGGTTGGGACCAGCCTGATTTCTATCCCGGTGAGCAATGTTCCTTAGGCGGGGGCAGGATTCGAACCTGCAATCTTCAGGTCATGAGCCTGATGAGTTGACCAATTCCTCTACCCCGCTTCTTCCCCAACTCCTCCTTCATCGTCGTTGGTCCTTCGTTCACTCACTTTCACTAATGATACTGACCTTAGGCCCAACCATGTTTTCAATCCCCATTTTAAGGCGGTAGAGGATTACCTCAGGTTTTATGGACAGAGGAGCAACCCATAGATAGGTTTATCCAATAGCTTTAGAGGCCTCTTATAATATCTTATCTTATAATAATAATAATAGTAGAGAATTTGGGCCATGCTATCTATTCTTCCTTCTTTTTTAGTAAGAAAATGAACCCCTGAACAACAAAAATCAAACAGAAAACCCCTAACTACATACCTACAAAAGGGCCATACGTATTCAGAATGTAAATAAAGTCACTACTGTCTGTGCTGAGATATAAATCTATTTTGTTTAGTCCGAGAATTTGTTCTTGCAAAGACTCGTCTATAATAAAGACATTTTCTACTATGTGTTTGAAATATAGTTATTTAGGTAATTGTATATTTACATTTGTATCACTATAATCTTTCCAAAGCACCTCTAGTTTTGATTGGGTTTTTTGTTTTCCGTGCAAATGTTTTCAAATAGTATTTCGTTCCCCGCACCAAAAATAGCTATCGAAAGAATGCCAAGTGTAGTGATGTTATCCGCTATCCATAAAGTAAAGAAAGCTTTCTTGTAGTTCTCTCTCAAAATGCAAGAAATACTTTTTGTAAATCGCCGGTTGTTTTTTCCACCAAGAAAGGCATGGGAGTCTTTGGACATTGCTTGAGATAAGTCAAGACTGACTATCTCTATATACGCAATATTTTGAAAGGCGAAGAGTTAGTACTTTTTCCTTCTCGTAGTTCTACTTGTTAATTAAAAAGAGCGTATAAAAAAGGCAATCCCTCATTCCGACGTAAGTAATCTAAAATCGTATTTTGCTGGTGAACTCAAGTGTAAGATCGAGCGGAGAAAGCGGAATCAAAGAATAAAGCTAATTCCGGGATCTGGATCCGGTTCGAATCTGTACTGGATTGACTGTCCAAGCTAGATCTATCTTATATAAGATAGAAAGAATAGATATGGTTTGAAAGGTTTACAATTCTTGTTGGGGACTGAAATGGTACAGAATTACCTTTAGGCAATTTCAAAGAATTCCAATCGTATGAACTTATAGCTTTGAAAGACCCGGAACCTTGTCCGGAGCTGGCATGACTGTACGAGTGTGATTCCTTTCCTAGCTAATTTTGAATCAAGCATCTAATCTGGGGCAAAAACTGTTGATCTAGTACCAAAGAGAACTGTTTCATTAAACTACGGGCATTATAAGCTGCTTCTTTGTTTCTCTTTCTTTCATTCCGGGAAGATAGAATAGCATGGCATTCTTGACTTCTTTAGAGTGGAACTCACCATTACTAGATCTTAAGATAAACGATAGCTTATAAAGCTTATAAGTCAGTTATAAGTAAGCAATCTTCCAGTAAACTGGATCTGTACGATCCAATAAACTAGCTCGCTGGCTGAAAGGGAGAAAGACGACTCTGAATTCCGACAGCATGTTTTTATTAGTCATTTTGTGATGAATTAAGTCATTCGTATTGAGCCAACAGGAAAAGGGTTTTAATACTCATTTATTTACAACATGAATTCAGAAGAGAGGTTGAGTGTTCAGTTCAGTGCATTACACTAATTTATCCTAGGTCAGGCTTTGTTTTGAGAGAAGGAAGCTTTCTTAATGCCCTTATGGTTGAATTCAGTGGGTGCTTTCTAACAGAGTTTTTAAATTCCTATTTGAATGCTCATATTTGATTTCTTTCAAAAGATGAGTCCAAAAGGGATCCCACGTGTGTTTTCTGACCGGTCGTTCGCTTCGGCCGTAGTGAATTCAGCCTTAGCAACTAAGATATTCCTGGTTCCTTTCGTCAAACGAAAGAACTCACCGGTGTGTTTTGTGACAGGTAAGCCCTTAGGCTATTATGCCTCTTGGCCCTTGTTTGCCTTCTCACACCACTTAGTGGTCTGGTTGGCAGCCGATAGGGTGTACCCAGGTCGTCGAGTGATGATGTTGTTATCACCGATCCCCGAGTGGCCGAGCAATACGCCTTGTTACTTGATGATTTGGGTGTGACTCTTAGTATTAGTATATCCAAATCAATCATTTCTCACACTGGCTGTATTGAGTTTGCCAAGAGGTTCTTGGTTTCATATGGGACAGTCGATCTTTCTCCCATATAAATCAAGTGTCTCCTCAATTACTACCCTCCTAATGGCTTGTTTGCCATTCACCATAAATAGGGTGTCAAGATAAAAAATATCTGTAGGCTTGGTGGTCATTGCGGATACAGGACTCTTGCTAAGTTGTCACATCATTCGTCTCCAACAGTTAGGAGACGGAAAGCGATGTGGACTAGGCTTTCTCTTCCACTTGAGTGGTGGTTGGGAAGGGGCAAGCCACTGAATCCTTACCTCAAGGGATACCTTGTTGAGTATCTCCGCAAGGAGTGCCGACCTGGTGAACTTAGGTTAGCTCCAGAAGAGTTATTCGAGCTACCCGGCATGAGGGACTGATTAGAGTGGTCCCTCGTGCGAGGTTGGATGAGGAAGACTTCGCTTGAACGATTTCCCATATAAGGAAAAGAGGTCACTTATTAGTATTAGCAGAAAGAGATCTCTTTCTTGGCACGAGTCAAAAGCTGCTACATTCGCTGCTGGAGAAGAGGAATCCTGTAGATCGGCGGAATCTCTGTTCTCACCCCCTCTCCGCTAAAGAAAGGAACTAGTTAGGATATACCAAGGTATTGGTCCTCAACCCAGCGGAATTCCAAGGCAGTAAAGCGTGAAGCTTGGCTCGACTAAAAGAAGAAGCGTAAGAACGACCGAAGTACATTAAGCAAAGCATTCCACTCACTTGGAAGACTCACTAGTGCTTGCACGTTACTCGTTAACTTCAAAGAGAGAACCAACGCAACTCAAGAGAGTGAAGGTGCAAGTGGGATGGTACCTCGACCAGAGCGCTTTGGACTAGTCCGTACCTTAACGCAAATGAGGCTCAAGCGTACACCTTTCCCGATGGAGGATCCGCGCATAAATCATAAAGTCAAATGGTCAAAGCGTCCCCCGGAAACCTAGATCCAAAGAGTTTCCCGATCTTATTATAAAGGGAAATAGGAATGACTTTCCCCAAGAACTGGTTGCTAGATCAACTAGTATTCCAAAACTGGTTGATAGCTTAACTCAAAAATAGCATCTTTCGGACCCCGAAACAAAGAGAGAAGTTTTCCCCCAATCCGGACTATGAGAAGGATTTCCCCGCCTAACCTTAACACATTCTAATGCTAATGGAGCTTAACACATTAAGCGGAGGAAGGTTTAGTAAGAAAGAATGAACTCACTAGGGGGAATGAATTACTCCTTTGAAAATAAGCCAATCCCAACCTTTTCAGTGCGCAAGGGAATTTCGAGTTTCAGTTTGAAGCCCAAAAGTCAGCTTCTTTGTAAGCTCCTTTGCCCCTGGTCTAAGCCTTAAGCTAGTGCTTCTGTCTTCTCTGCGATTGAAGTTGCAGTGGTAAGCTAATCCCTTTCAGTATAAATCCCCAATATGTATAAATATATATCTTTCTTTCTTCGAAGTCAGTGTTCTTACGGCAAAGCTGGATGCCCGATCTTTATTTCCCGAGCTCTTGGTCCTCGGTCCTACTTCTAGGTTATGCAAGCTTGACTCTTAAGAAACTGACTTGGGTATAGTATAGAATCTCATTCCCACTAGATCCACGGAAGAGATATATAATATCTCTTAGAATTTTAACCTTCCCCCTTTTCATAATAAGAAGGTAAGCATCAAAGCCCGCAAGCCTTTTTTAATGCAACCATCAAGAAAGAAGCAAGCATTGAACAAGAAAGCATCAACTATTTAAATGGATTCATTTTTATTAAAAAGCATTTCCCTTTCGACATAAAGCATTTTCACTCGAGCTGAAAGAATTGAATCACCCTCGGGTCTGGGAATAGATTCAGAACTAGAAGCTCACACCGGGAAATCTCTTTCTTAATAGAACCAGGTTCAAGGCGATGAATATGAATAGTCAGCACTGTCGTTATTAAGCCTGGTATGCCTCCGCCCTGTCAATTCCATAACTTCAATCCAGGATCATGCCTTGGGCTTAGTTCACATGTTCCTGCTTAGTTCGCATTCGGGCTATGAGACGCCTTATAGAATGAAATGAAATAATAAGATATCGATTCGTCTTTCTTGTTTTTCTTATCCAAAGCGAATAGATACTCGATTCTTGCACAATTTCACTCTCCTCTCCCTACGGTCGAGTGTATTTCTTTTCCTCACAGACTAGGGGGATAAAAAAAAATAGCTCGTGCTAACTCTTAAGTAGATAGATAGATACCGGCGTCAAGCATTCGTTGAATCTCCTTTTCCCCTTCTTTACATATTTCCGTTGCGGGTCGAGGACTCCTTCTCCTTCTTCAAACTCCGATTTGTATTGTTCGTAGAGAAATCTCTTTCTCTATTAAGGAATCCTACGAAAGTAGGGTACCAAACCACCGGACACTATGGCTTCAGACTTTGGCCCGCGGCCTTGCTTCAGTTGTTGCAACTCTTCCTCCACCACGCGTGAAGATAACGGAAAAACAACATTCTACTTGCATGTGTTAAGCATAGTCAAAAAACACGCATGATTGGCCCTACAGTGGTGAACCGGGCGTACGACTTTACAACCTTCTGTGGACCTTGCTTTTCTTACTTGAATGAAGACAGCCAACCTTCTTTCTTCTCTTACGAGATTTCTAGTTGAATGAGAAAGATGTTAAGAATATACAAGAGAAAGTCGTTTCCGGTACGAGACTAATTGCAGGACTATAGCTCGCATTCTTTCAGATTATGGAGTGATATCGGTACAGCAGGTGAACTTGAAGTGCCTAAGGCGTGGACGTGATCTTACTTTATAGGAGACAGTAGCTTAAGTCTGAATTCCTCGATCAGTGGGAATCTTCTTTGTCTTAAGTGAACTCTTATTCATTTCATTCACATTAAGGTCACTTAGGTCCTGCTATACTTTTTTAGGTGACGATTGGGTAGACTAGTTCTACGGAGAAGGCTAGAAGGGATATGTGAGACGCCGCGGGTGGCGACCACGGTTTCATCGTATTTTCATCGTATAAAGAAGAGGACTTCGTTCAACCTCGCGGAGCGGACCAATTCGTATCGAGTCATGCTACAACGGGACTAATACCCGAGCCCCTATTCGAAGGTCCCCCTGAAACCCCCGAACTGAAGGACCATCCCTAATGGCGTGCTAAGAGGCATGCTTTCCCCAAGCCTGATCCCATTTCCCATTCTCATCATATGTCTTTCTTCTCTTGGTACTAGGCAAGATTGACCATCATTTCCAAAGGGGAAAAGAGAAAGAGAAAATGAAAGGGAAAGCAGCTACACCCTACTTTCGGGAAAAAGACGAGTTCCAAGGCTTTTTCTAAGCTAGAAAGGTAGCTCACAAGAAAGCAGTGGGCTAGCTAACACTGGAAAAGCGGAAAACCCGCCAAAAGCTCTGCGTAAAGGGGAGAAGCCCTACCTAAAGCTAAAGAAGGAGATTCTATCTCATAGCTCCCTGCTACTGCTACTGGATGAATACCATATTCTTTGTATTTGATTCAATCATTCCCTCAATAAAAAAAAGGCATTGTTCGTGAATTCTTGCTTCTGAGCATCAAGAAGAGCTCAGTCAAGTTGTGTACCACTGACATTTCAAAAAGAATTTATATTTCCCTCAAAAAGATTGTTTGGATTGTTTTTCAACGGATCCTTCTCTGGATCGTAGTTTTTTGTCTTTGGCTCTATTTCCAAACCCTTTCAATTTCTTATTTGACTATGTTCAATATTTGACAAGATCGTCCATTTCACTCCAGAAATTCTGGCATACTGGCATGGAATTTGAAAGAATTCATTTATTGGCTCCTGGATTGGCAAGCATCCGGGCTGCCGGAGAGGAATAAAGAATTGAATAGCATTTATGTCCTGATAGGATTTATCAATGTTCTTCGTTCATACTTTCAGGGGGACTAATACGTTCAGTCAGGTCGCAACAAGGTAGCCATAGGGGAACCTGTGGCTGGATTGAATCCTTCGTGTTCGTGATAAAAAAAGATGCCCCTGGAGTTCCTTAAACAGTAGATCGATTGATCTAGAATGGGACTTTCATAAACTTTGTTCTAAATTACCCCCTCTCCTTATCAGTCGAGTATAGTATCTTCTAACCTCTCCTTCTCTCCTATCAGTCGAGTCTATTCTAACCTCTCCTTATCAGTCGAGTCTATTCTCCCCTTTCCTTATTCTTCGCAGAGGGCTTTGCTTTGAATCATAATTGTTTTATTCGGTTCGTATTGTTGAATCGAAAGCAAGATTGACTGCGAACTCACTCAAGGGTTATAGGTTTTATAAAGGCTATTCATTAGCAACAAAAAGAGTAAGACAGGGCGCAGCACTCCTGCAGTTAGAAGAAGAGCGCGACCGGAACCAAGCATGAAAGATTGACTGTGATGCTACGTGATCACTACGGAGAAGAGAAAAGATGTCATAAAGCATAGGGACATCGACTTCCCCAAAAAACCATTGATTGGGATCGATATAACAGAGTGTGCTCGATAGTCATCACTATTATGTCCCCGAATGGAATGTATGTCACCTTTTTTCTTTCCCTTTTAGACCAACCTGCCGCGTATAGTTTAGTCGTCTCTTTATGCGAGGGTTGATTCTCCAGTTTCGGATGCCTCTGGCTGGGAAGAAGCCCTAATCTTCGAGTCAGGAGATACCTTGAGAACAGTGAAAGCAGAATCCTATTTTATTTAGTTTAGAAGAAGGCTTTGTCTCGTCCCTTCCCATTGTAATTGTAGGAGGGAAAGTAAAAGGAGTGATTTACAACCCTAGCCCTACCATGGAATAAAGATATAGCCCTATAACCTGGTTTTCAGCAGATCTAGAATCTCTTTCAACAAACTTGCTTGCTATCCCAGCGCGTCTATCCTTAGTTGTCGTGTCTAGCAAGCGAGAAAACGTAACGCGCTAACGAACGCACTTACGTAGTAACCCCTACGCTTGCTGCTGGCGCTACCTTGGATACGCCAACCCAGCGAGTAAGGGAGTGAGTCTGTCCAAATAAGCTCTAAGAAGCTCTTATTCACTCGACAAAAAAGGTTTGGACTGAAACCATTCTCAGATGGAATCGACTTACTTCTAGTTGCATCGGATCTAGAGATCTGTTGCCAGTTCCGATAGAAGGAAAGGAGTAAGGTTGCCGGCTTGACCCAATAGTTGTTGAACTCGAGGTTGGTAATAAACTGAAGCTGCTCAGTCTTCTAGCATAGCGGAGTGAGATATATCGAAGAATTAACTTAGCCTTCAACCAACTATCTTTTTGAAGCAGATAGTTCACAGTGCTTATTATCTATATACTGGAAAAGCCAACTCATGTTTCCACTCTATTTTCATTACGAAGATGTATCACGTCAGGATCCGTTGCTCAAACCGAATCACGCCAACGTTATGGAAGTTCCTGGATCGTGTAAAATAAGAGTAGTACCAAAGGCAGCACCTTCTATCAAAAATGGAAAATTGGCTATGGAGATTCCGTGCGGTCATAAATTCATACAGACACAAAGGGCTTCGACAGGAAAGTCGTTTCGATCCAATCGGTCAAATAAAGAAAAAAAAGGATATGTAAGTGACCTAGCACGACAAAGCACTCTCCGAGGGCATGGAATGTATTCTTTTTTGGTCAGAATCTCCACAGTAATGTCTCTGTTAGATTCTCCGGTCGAAATACGGGAAAACTCCATTCAATTCTCGATGGAAACGGAGTTTTGCGAATTCTCCCCGGAACTGGAAGATCATTTCGAGATCTTCGAACATATTCGAGGGTTCAATGTGACTATTGTCACTTCGGCCAACACACAAGATGAGACTTTACCACCGTGGAGCGGCTTTTTGCAAAAAGATGAGGGGGAAGATGTCGGAGAAGCAAAATATACGAGATCACAAACGTAGATTGCTCGCGGCTCAAACGGATGCGCTGAGGAATATTGAGACGAAAGCTTTATAAAGCCTTTTGTACCCCGGGACAAACATCGTTATAAGTTGTCCAAGTTGCCAAGAAAGAGTTTCTTTGTTGTTGCTAATCTAAAAGGGTAGTACTCTTGGAAAGATAGAATATCACCTAGCAATAAAGACACCCTTTAGGGGAAAAAATACACCTCACACCCTAAATAATAAGGTATTCAGTTACGAATGTAACTCCCGAGGGATCGACCACTATTCTAAATAGAGTAAGGCGGAGAACTGTTGTTCATTGGAGCGCCGGAGTGTGCGGAGGTTGTTCCCATCATTGAAGTCAGGGTGTGGTTCCGAATGATAAAGAAAAAAGTGCAACGTTTCGTTGGAAAAACCAACGCAAATATCATACATATTGACTTTCTCTCGCCCAAATGAAATGGGATGAATCAAATCAATAAGCTTTTTGAGGCGCAGCGAAGCCAAATTCAATAAAGGCAGGGGGGTGGGGGAACAAGAGTTGTCACGATATCAAATGAAAATTCATAAGTGACTATAAGGAGCCAACGACTCTCTCTTCTTAAACAACCTATATCCTCCACACTTCATCAGCATTTGATAGATTATCCAACCCCGAGCAATCTTAGTTATTGGTGGGGGTTCGGTTCGTTAGCTGGTATTTGTTTAGTCATTCAGATAGTGACTGGCGTTTTTTTAGCTATGCATTACACACCTCATGTGGATCTAGCTTTCAACAGCGTAGAACACATTATGAGAGATGTTGAAGGGGGCTGGTTGCTCCGTTATATGCATGCTAATGGGGCAAGTATGTTTTTCATTGTGGTTCACCTTCATATTTTTCGTGGTCTATATCATGCGAGTTATAGCAGTCCTAGGGAATTTGTTTGGTGTCTCGGAGTTATAATCTTCCTATTAATGATAGTTACAGCTTTTATAGGATATGTACTACCTTGGGGTCAGATGAGCTTTTGGGGAGCTACAGTAATTACAAGCTTAGCTAGCGCCATACCTGTAGTAGGAGATACCATAGTTACTTGGCTTTGGGGTGGGTTCTCCGTCGACAATGCCACCTTAAATCGTTTTTTTAGTCTTCATCATTTACTCCCATTTATTTTAGCAGGCGCCAGTCTTCTTCATCTGGCCGCATTGCATCAATATGGATCCAATAATCCATTGGGTGTACATTCAGAGATGGATAAAATTGCTTCTTACCCTTATTTTTATGTAAAGGATTTAGTAGGTTGGGTAGCTTTTGCTATATTTTTTTCCATTTGGATTTTTTATGCTCCTAATGTTTTGGGGCATCCCGACAATTATATACCTGCTAATCCGATGCCCACCCCGCCTCATATTGTGCCGGAATGGTATTTCCTACCGATCTATGCCATTCTTCGTAGTATACCTGACAAATCGGGAGGTGTAGCCGCAATAGCACCAGTTTTTATATGTCTGTTGGCTTTACCTTTTTTTAAAAGTATGTATGTACGTAGTTCAAGTTTTCGCCCGATTCACCAAGGAATATTTTGGTTGCTTTTGGCGGATTGCTTACTACTAGGTTGGATCGGATGTCAACCTGTGGAGGCACCATTTGTTACTATTGGACAAATTTCTCCTTTTGTATTCTTCTTGTTCTTTGCCATAACGCCCATTCTGGGACGAGTTGGAAGAGGAATTCCTAATTATTACACGGATGAGACTGATTAGTTCAAAATTATGACACCAATCATTTACGAGTGAGTATGAAGGACTTGGTTTCCTCTCTAGTTAGGCAAGCTCATGAAGATAGAACCAAAGGATCTGCCAGTGAGCCTCTCAGTTTAGCCTAACGAACAAAGTGAATCCTTCCTGTCCATTGGGAAGAGAGCTCCTGACCAGCAGAAGAGAAGAGGATGGCCGGAGCCTAGGATCTTGTGGAACTTTCCTTCCAAGAAGCAAGTGTAAGCGTATCGACGAAGTAGGTATTGACTAGCTTCCCCTACTATCCTGTTTCCGAAGGAAAGCTTGGCCTGGATAGAGATGAAGATGAATTAGGGTGGTGGTTTCTTTCCTTTCCTATGGTGATATTGATTCTTCTTATTCTTCTTCTTGGGTAGTATAGCTTAGTTTGTTCTTTTAGTCTTTCCATTCTTTCTTCATATCATCTAGGGTATTTTCCTGTTTATCTTTGATCTCTTGTTCGAGTCGAGCTATTTCGCTATCTATATGGTGTATTTTAGGGAGTAGTCTATTAGCCTCATCTATCCTGTGTTGAACGAGATGTTCCATGACTTCTCTTTTCATCTTATCTTTGTCAGCTATGTGCTCTTTCATCTCATCTAACATCGGATTGGATTTTATATATATTCCCTTCACCTTAGCCTTCTTAACCTCATCCTTGGTTTTGTATAAAGTAGTGGTCTTTTGACCTTCAGTAGTGGACTGACTTACTTCTTATTCTTTTGTCTTATTATCATTATCCTTTTCTTCATTTTTGCTCAATAGTTCAAATAGGTAAATAGTGGTTGCATCTTTACTCCCTAAGTCTATTACTTCTCTTGGTCGTGTGTATATCCATACATTATTTGAATCATAGACATTCTCTCTTTTCGTACTATGTGGTAGTCCGAGGTTTATTAGCAATTCCTTTTTGACAATCTTGAGTTCTTTCCAATCTATTCTGAAGTTAGCTGAAGTTGAGATCTGATCCATTAAAGAGAGATCCGCCAATTGCCTTTGAAACCATTCAGATGTTACTAAATCTTTAGCAGGACCCTTGTGTTTAATAATATGTCTATCATCTTCTATGTCTAACATATAACTTTTAGGTGCTAAGAATATTCCTCTCTTTATTTGGCATTCGAGTTGAAACATACCCAATTCTTGGGAAGAAATGATATCGTCAGGAAGAGGAACTTCCTAAAACTATAGAGTCAGTATCAGTATAGTAACAGTCAGGTCTGGAAATGTGTGGATACATATGAATACGAGCACAAGCAGTTATAGCTGCAGACAAATGAACTGCCGACATCTTAGGAGCTTTCCAGTCATCGTCGTCAGCAAAGCTACTATTGGTAATGTAATTGACAATATAATAATGATCGGTAAGCTTCTCCGCTGATTGAAAACTATCCTTATTCATAAATTCTTCATATTTATTTTGATTGCAGATCTCTGTTACTGTACTTTCAGGATTCATACCAAATCTACCATAGAGAGAGTGAATTAGAATCTTATAAATCGCTTCATCACCTGATTTCTTGGATTCTAGTCTGCTTTCATAGAGGTGTGAGACAAAGCCTTTGAAAGGACTGGCCTTCTTCTCAAACAAATAACCCCTAAGAGGAATTATATGATAACCTAAATGACGCGCAAACTTCAACTCTTCGCTATAAAAGACTCCAACGAATTTTCCTGTAGGCAAGTACCAGTTTGATCCTTATAAGGTAAGAATGGACGTGATATATTAGTAGGACATACTACATAGGCCTCAATAAATCCAAACAAGCTATCTAATTCGACGCTCTCCAAATTCTTCTTCCAGACAGGTATACCACAAGGCATCGGATATTCTTTCATAATATAAGGATATAAAGAGTTCACATCATAATAGTATAGATTCTCACCATAGGGCTTATAGACATCAGCATGACCACCATAATAGCCACGCCTAATAAAGGTGTCTTGGTTCCTTGTAGGTAAATGAATATGAAAGGACTCATCATCCAAATAATTCTGACGAAAGATTTGAAGGGAAAGCGATGACAATGTCATCACATCCTCGATATCAATATTATACTTTTCCCAATTCATCTCTTGCGCCTTCAACATCACACCACCTAAGATAAGGATATCTTGTCGAAGATAGTTTATCAAATCCTCACTATGACCCTGAAGATTAGACACTTCCAATTCTGAATGTGGGATAGAACCTTTGGTACCTAATTAAGGACATAATGTCTTCCCCAATGATTCAAGACTGTTAGGGCATGAATCTCTGAAACGTAATAAGAGCTTACCACCCATATAGACTTTCAACTCGTAAAGTTTATGATTCCTCATCAATGTTTTCATTCTATACGGATTACCACGATCAGCATAATACCTCAGAATGATAATTCGGGCAAAATTATGGCGAACACGAGGATTTTTATTCACATAGACCTCAAAATGAGAGAGAAATTAAAATAACATTCTTTGACTCCTATCTTCAAAGTGAGGATTTAAATGGATTTTATTCTCACTTAAAAAGGTTTTGATCGAATATTCAGGTAGGGATGTAAGATCATCACCAGGATTCACCACTAAGTAACCAGCTGCGTAAGGTACATGAACACTATTTACTAGTATAGTCTCTATATCGGCTACAATGAAAGAACGACATTATGTTCCCCTACCTTTGATTGCCTTTATTTTAGTGGGAATACGACTATCTTTATACTTCAGTGATTTCACTTCTGGTAGTTCACAACTTCCTATTTATGACTCCATTACATTGTGAATATTAGTAAGAATAGCTGATGATATCTCATTAGGAAAGTCTATGAATTGATGGGAATCCTTTTTTTCATAATAGATACGAATAAAGACACCTTTCATCACTGCATCCTGATATTGTTCACCATATAACTGAACTAGTTGAGCAATCATATCATATATCTTATTCTTTGGTACACGATTACCAAATTGATCACACAATGGTATAGCCTTTCCTAAAGTCAATGAAAAATAACTGGATGAAGGGTATATCCTATAGTCAATTTCAAATATGAAGTATCAATATTGTAAGCCTAATGTTCAAAACTCAAAATCAATAGCTCGAGGGTATGGGTATATAAAACCCATAGAAGCATAGATAGAACCAGGATCAATATATTTCCGAATCAATGCTACTTCTTAAACGTTCCCAATATCCATAAAAATGATGGGAGATAGATGAATCAAACCTATTGCTAATATCGCTCATTATATCTTTTGTCCGCGTAGTATAGGCCCTAGAAGAAGTGCTAACCCCCCAAAACGTAGAACATAACAAAGTCTTACCAACAATTCCAAATAACGTACCATCATATCCAAACCTAGAACATAACATAGTAGTACCTTGCCTTATTAAGGGTAAGACAGTCCCTTGATTTCTTTTTATTTTCCCTAAATCCAAACCTAGAACATAACATAGTAGTACCTTGCCTTATTATTTTGGCTAGGTGTATTTTCTCCTAGCTATCAATGCTATACGGTCTAGATAGTCGGACATCATCTTATTGCTCCTTTTTTGGATTGTATCATAGAGAAACAATGGATAATCTTCACTGTAATACGTTTCTATACTCCTGCACATATCTTCAGATATCACATCATCAGGTTCTACCAATAACAAACCTGCTGCATAGGGTACATGAATATCGTTGATGAGTACTGTCTCTATATCGGCGACCAGAAAGGGTTGCCTTTCCTTACTAGTGGGTTCGAGTGATTTCATATACTTGAGGTACTTATGTTTACGGTTTTCTATCTTTTAAGCCTCCCTATGTTCCACCAATTCATAACTGAGCAGGTAAGCTATATGATCATTAGATCATTCTAGTGGTTTATTTGATTTCATATCTAATACATAGATTCGAATATAGATGCTAGTTATCAATGATTTCTCGTACGCCTCGGCCTTCTGCCTCACATAGTTCTCCACTAAACTAGATACAGGTAAATCTTGACCTCCTTCCCGATAGATTCTAGCTTGACTTAGAGCAAAGGGTACTTCCCCATTTGGTATTTTCATTACATAATGAATTGTCAACTTACTGATTCACGATTTTCATGATTTCGAGAATTGCGTATAGTAAGGGATGACACCGCACGTATAGGCAAATAGGATGATTGCTCTCTTCCAGTGATTGGTAGATTGATCTAATCGTATAAATCATTCAGTCAAGTGGAAACGGAAATGCCGTATGTAAAGTGAAAGTAAAGGAAGACTCTCCCAGACGGCACGTTTACAAGTTCGCGCCCGTCTAATTGATTTCGTAAGTGATGTGAGACCTCTAGATTGGAATTCCATTTTTCCCTTAGGATTCGCGTGCTCGAAGCGCTGTGAATTCGTTGGTTGATTTGTTGACCAACTGCATGGGCGCCTTGTGTCATTAGGTTCGTGTTCAGTTTATGTTTGAAAGAGAGCTTTAGCCATGCGAAAAACCAAGGTCATTTCCGACAAAGAAGTCCCTCTTCTGGGGACAAGTCTTCCTTCATTGGGGGAGCATAATGAAAAAAAGAAACCGGAAATGAATAAGTTCTTCTTTCTAATAATAGAGGTGTTCTCTCTTATGCACTTCGTAATCCAAGTGTTGGTGCTTTTTTTGACGGGATTTATATAAAATAGAATTTCCAAACCCTTTCAATTTCTTATTTGACTATGTTCAATATTTGAAGTAGCAAGATTTAGCTCATAATAAATGAAAAGTTGCTCCGCCAAGAGCCTTGAGCATTGTACAAGGGCGTGCTGTAGGAGTAACCCATTACCTTCTGGGTGGAATTGCCACAACATGGGCATTCTTCTTAGCACGAATTATTGCAGTCGGATAATGGCTAGGAGGATTTGAAAGGCATTATGGCAGTAAGATTTCCAAGGTTTAGCCAAGGCTTAGCTCAGGACCCCACTACTCGTCGTATTTGGTTTGGTATTGCTACCGCACATGACTTCGAGAGTCATGATGATATTACAGAGGAACGTCTTTATCAGAAGATTTTTGCTTCGCACTTCGGTCAATTGGCAATAATTTTTTTGTGGACTTCTGGCAGCAAGGAAATTTTGAGTCGTGGGTACAGGACCCTTTACATGTAAGACCTATTGCTCATGCAATTTGGGATCCTCATTTTGGTCAACCAGCCGTGGAAGCTTTTACTAGAGGGGGTACCCTTGGCCCGGTGAATATCGCTTATTCTGGTGTTTATCAGTGGTGGTATACAATCGGGTTACGCACTAATGAAGATCTTTATACTGGAGCTATTTTTATATTATTGATTTATGCCATTTCCTTAGTAGCAGGTTGGTTACACCTACAACCGAAGTGGAAACCGAGCGTTTCATGGTTCAAAAATGCCGAATCCCGCTTGAATCATCATTTGTCAGGACTCTTTGGCGTAAGTTCCTTGGCTTGGACAGGGCATTTAGTACATGTTGCGATTCCTGCGTCCAGAGGGGAGTACGTTCGATGGAATAATTTATTAGATGTATTACCGCACCCTCAAGGATTAGGCCCACTTTTGACAGGTCAGTGGAATCTTTATGCTCAAAATACCGATTCAAGTAGTAATTTATTTGGTACCTCCCAAGGAGCAGGAACTGCCATTCTAACGCTTCTCGGAGGATTTCATCCCCAAACGCAAAGTTTATGGCTGACCGATATTGCACACCATCATTTAGCTATTACATTGATTTTTCTCGTTGCTGGTCATATGTATAGAACCAATTTCGGGAATAGTATGAAAGATCTTTTAGATGCACATATTCCTCCGGGAGGACGACTAGGTCGTGGGCATAAGGGTCTTTATGACACAATCAAGAATTCGCTTCATTTTCAATTAGGCCTTGCTCTAGTTACCGACAGCAGCTCCCGCTGAAGCAATTGTAGCAGCTCCGGCACCCATTGATTACTTCCTTGGAATTAGGGGTTATTACTTCCTTGGAAGCTAAACACATGTACTCTTTACCTGCTTATGCATTCATAGCACAATACTTTACTACTCAAGCTGCATTATATACCCATCACCAATATATCGCAGGATTCATCATGAATTTGCTCATGGAGCTCTATTTTGAATTAGAGATTACAATCCGGAGCAAAATGAAGAGAATGTATTGGCAAGAATGTTAGATCATAAAGAAGCTATCATATCTCATTTCAGTTGGGCTAGTCTCTTTTTTGGATTCCATACCTTGGGACTTTATGTTCATAATGATGTCATGCTTGCCTTCTTCTCAAACAAATATCCCCGGAGAAGCAAATCTTGATCGAACCTAGATTTGCTCAATGGATACAATCCGCTCATGGTCAAACTTCATATGGGTTCGATGTACTTTTGTCTTCAACGAGCGGACCGGCATTCAATGCGGGCCGAAGCATCTGGTTGCCGGGTTGGTGAAATGCTGTTAATGAAAACATTCATTCATTATTCTGAACAATTGGAAACACATCACATTATGGCAGGGTAACGTTTCACAGTTGAATGAATCTTCCACTTATTTGATGGGCTGGTTAAGAGATTATTTAGGGTTCAACTCTTCACAACTTATCAATGGATATAACCCTTTTGGTATGAATAGTTTATCGGTCTGGGCATGGATGTTCTTATTGGAAGGTTTTAGTTGCAGTGAATGAAGATTTCTTCTTGTGCGGGGTTCTGAATTTATTGAAACTTTAGCATGGACTTTGGCGAATTTGATTCGCTGGAGAGAGAAACCAGTGGCCCTTTCTATTGTGCAAGCAAGATGAGTTGGATTAGCCCACTTTTATGTAGGTTATATATTCACTTATGCTGCTTTCTTAATTGCCTCTACATCGGGTCAATTTGGTTCATTTGAATGTGTTGTATCCGCGATAATAGAATTTATTTGGAGGGGGGGATTCACCTTATTATATTTCTACATCTAGGATTAGACTTGTATTATGGATACGATACTAATACTCAACCATTATGGCAAGGAAAAGTTTGATTCAGAGGGATTTGAACTGAAATCTCATTTGATTCGTCGATCCTCAAAAAAAGAAATAAGCAAAGTTCCTTAGTCTTAGTAAAGACTAAGATCTTGAAACCTTCGTTGAGTGACAAATGGGAAATTTATGGAAAGTGACAATCCCCACCGCGGAATAGTGCACCTACACGCCTTCGTCGACGTTGTTTTTTTACCGAGAGCTAACTATCGAGACTTTGGACTATCCGGACACATACTTCGTGAAATGGTTCAAGCATGCCTATTGCCAGGAGCAAAAAGATCGAGTTGGTAAGGATTCACGCTTCATTTCTAAGGCTAAAGCCCCTTGACCTTTCTGTATAAATGGGTTATTCTATTTGTACAGATAGGGTAGGGGGGCGCATTCAACCCTTGTTTATCTATTAGTTTTCAGTTTTGATCTTGGGTAGAGCAGTTTGGTAGCTCGTAAGGCTCATAACCTTGAGGTCACGGGTTCAAATCCTGTCTCCGCAACATCGTGTTTTGCCAAACAATTTGACATTGAACTAGTAATTCAATAACACACCGTTTTTTGGGGTGGAAGGAAAGGTGGGGGAACCCGTAGGAAGGGGGGACGACCCGCCGAATTCACATCAGAAATCGCCAACATGAACACAAACGAAATCTTGAATTGCGTATAGAAACAAAGCGAACCACTTCTATTCTCGGAGCTGAGGTATATGAGGAATGGCTTTTTGGTCCCTTTCGTCCAGTGGTTAGGACATCGTCTTTTCATGTCGAAGACACGGGTTCGATTCCCGTAAGGGATAGGTACTCATTCCCGGCCGCTTTCAGTTAGTGTTCATTGCTGAGTGATCGCTCGGCTTGGTCCGGAAGCTTCCTTTCTCCCAGCCGACCCGAAAGTCATTTCAAATGAAAGAAGAATCTGTGTGCACTATCTATGGAGTGGAGTGACTATCCTGAATCTCCTCTCCCCCTTTTTGCCTTCGGCTATTACCGGCTGGCAAGGCTTGGCCCAACATTGGATTTTTTTTAAAACAACCAACATTCACTATTTTTGGAAAGGAACGAATGCAGGCTTTCCACCGGTTCTTTAAAGCTATCAATCCCCGCTTCTCCCTCTCGCATCGGTTCTGCATCAGATGATGAGCCCATGCGAAAACTTTCTCTTTTATTGGCTATTAGATTGAGTCGAAAGCTTACCAACGCATAAAGGTTCCGATTCGAGCGAGAGCCCAAACGGGTGAGGCGAGAAGTCTATTTCCATGTGGTCTGTTTGATAACTACTTTTCAAAATTCGATCAAATCGATCGAGAATGTCATCATCTGTTAGGTGGGCCAACCGACCGACCGAGTTGGGCTGGGCGTCCATGTCACAGAACCTTTCTCTAGCCAAGAATCCCATTTCGGGGCGGATCCTTATTGTAATAAACTGCATGAATCTATATTACAGTTAGTGAATATCCCTTTATAGTCAAAGGCAAATGCAAAATAGATCGTTTTCACACTAAGAAAAAAACCTAGAAAAGAGGAAGAGTCACTAAGAAAAGAGAGCTATAGGTAAGCAAGCAAGAAGGAGAGGTGCAAAAAGGCGAGGCAAGGGACTCTCCATCTCTAGGAAGATTGTGTCCAGGATCTGGTAATCTAAGCCTTGCTTCTTCTGGTCGACTCGTATTAGCCTGTGCTTTATTACAGGTAGTCATTCCCCCGTTCCTACCGTCCAAAACAGGCCTATGGAGTATAGCCAAGTGGTAAGGCATCGGTTTTTGGTACCGGCATGCAAAGGTTCGAATCCTTTTACTCCAGATTATGAACACCCGATCGGATCTGTCAAGAACGGGCTGACGACTACAGGGGAAGCGGCTGACTGCAGTCCCTGAGCCCAGTAGCATGTAGCAAGCCTGCCAGTTTGACTTGAACCTACTTTGCTAAGAGAAGAGAGAGAAGGGAAAGACAGACGGATCCTTCCAACCGCGGAATTTCACACAAGACTGACTTCGGCCAGGTTCTTTTCTCAATGTCATTATCTTCCTCACCTTAGCCCTGTGCTATCATTTGTATAATGTGGTTCGGAAGGATTTGTTTTTGATTTCGTGTTGATCGTGAGAGCTTTCAATTCATACATAGAGTAGTAGCTCATGTTAGACTGATGAGCGAGGCCCCTAGCGATAGGGGGAAAGAGGGCTCCTTTCGACCAGATTACTAGCTTTCATTCATTCAAAGTAAAGGAACTTATTTAAGAAAATGAGTCATGAACTACATGGGTCTTATACCTTCTTCCTTGGTATGTCAGATAGGTTATGTAGGCGTACAACTCTTCCTAGGTTGTATTCGATCTAGAATGACTAAAGAATCTATTAGTAGGATGTCTAATATTACCAGAATACCTTATTTCCCTTAATAAATGGGCCAGATTCAAGTTGTTTTCCAGTTCAAACCAGCTAGTATCAATATGCTTTCAAGCCTGAGTATTTGAAGCAAGTTTCTAGTCTCATACCTGTAATCGCATATTACCTGTACATTATGTCTTTTCTTTTATTGGCATTGTCCGAGTGTATTTCATACTTTCATCCTGTACAGCCAAGACATCTAGTTTCAGTCCTTAGGAAAGCAAGTTCTAAAACAGTTGAAGCAAGGGCTTGATAGAGCAGCTAGAGATAGACGCTTTGGATAGAGCTAGTGAGAGATTAGGCATGTAGTCCTTCTCCTGGCATTTATGCTTACCTAGGGTAGCCTGCCATTGATCTAGTTCTTGGGATGAAATGAAAGGTATGTAATCACTCTCCCTAGTAGTCGAGTGCTTCCTTATGTCTTTCTGTTTCATTCAGCAGGAACCGAACCTGCCTGACTATGCTTGACCTTCAAGCTTTCGTTCAACAGTAAGGGATTCCCTCACCTCTTGATCCTCGACATCTGGTCCCTTAAAAGACGAATAATATTAGCTGCTTCCGGGCGATGGTTCCAGCAATGGAATAAGTAACGTAGGCGGGGTAGCACCCCTCCGATTATATAGCCAGTATCCCTACAGGTATGGGCACGTATCCACTCTCTTTCAAAATCAAATAAGTCTAGGAAAGAAAAAGGAGGTCTGGACGACAACCATTCCTTGAATTTGGTTCAGGCAAAGCGATAGACCCAGAAAGGAAGGAGTGTGGAAGCCACTCGTCTCCAAAGAGGAGGAATACTGGACTGAGCCGAACTGTAAAAGAGTCATCGACTGTGGAACTAGGAGTGATTCTCGGAACTTTCACCATAGAGAGGTTAGAATAGACTCGACTGAAAGGAGAGGGGAAAGTGAAATCAATTTATAATGAAGAGTAGGCTTACTATATACCGAAGCTCTTCAACTAAGTCACGTAGGAGACCAAAAGATCTCCTATTTTGATGCTGCAAAGCAAGAAATCCGTTCACAGCAGCAACAACAGCATCAGGTCAGCTGGCGAGACCCCTTATTGAATTTAGGCACATCAAACCAATCCCCTTCCCGAGATGAGGCTAAGGTAGTTGGAAAGGAAGTAGGCAAGGATCGTTCGCTAGAATGAGCTTGAATAGGGCTCCCTTCACTATAAATCAGCTAGAGATATGCTGCTCTAAAGACATTAGGGGAGTTCATTCGAAGGGGGATGAAGGTCGCAAGGTGGGATTGACCAACAGGAGGGATTATATGGGCTATTTGCCTTAACTGAATCAGTAGTATAAGCTACTCAATGAGAGGAGACATTCGGGCGTTCTAACGCTTAATCCGTTACAGCAACTTCAAAGATAGAAGAATTAAATGCGCATACAAGCTCGCTTTAGGTGGCCATTCTACTTCGGGACAATGGGAAACTAGTCTCATGGCTGCATGCTCTTCTTCCCGATCCCGATTTCCGAGTTATATAGCCTGGATGGGAGCAGCAGTGAAAATACCTCTTCTTAGTGGAGCTCCTTGTTCTATTTGAGTAGCTTGGTTTGGTTAGCAGCTTGGAGTTTAGTAATTGCCTGTAGTAAAGCCTGCTGTTATAAGGCTTTGGGGTAAGCACGCAAGCAGCATTTGATGTGGGAGTAAAGGCAAAGAAAGGGTTTGGTAGCTAGAACCAGGGACTATCCTTATAAGATCTAACTCGTCTCCTTATCCTCAAGGTATGAGATAGCTCCTTTAGTGAAGTAACTAATAAAGCAAGGAGAAGCGATTTGCATACTTGGGATTAGCTTATGATTTTGGAGTAGCCTGTAGCTATATTTGTGGCTGTAGTTAGAGAGGGCTTGCAAAGGACATCTGTCCCAGTTAGATGACTTAAGGAGTGAAAAAAAGAAAAAGAATAGGGGCCATATTGGTGAAGTCATGTTAGTTGTGGTTCACAGCAGAACCAAAGCAGAATGACTGACCCTGCCTCCAAAGAGGAAGGTGCATTCCTTGTTATATCCCATAGCTTGCTGAGACCGGAGATAGGGTCCCCTCAGATATGACGATAGGTACGTTCCTGCCAAACATGTTAATAATCTAGGTTTCCCTATGGGCATATCCCAGGTTTCCAATATGATCTTCAAATAGACAATCACACACAAAAAAGCTAAAAAAGAGCTCGACGAGTAACGAAGACTTCAAAACAAAAAGCAGTCCCGTCCTTCTCCTTTCCTCTAGTGCGGAGAGAATTCCACAGCTGCGGGACAGGGGTCAACGTAGATAACATTAGGCTGAGCGCAGCCATCAGAAAGACCTCGAGCGAACAAAGACCGGAACTAACTGCTCGCTCAATGCGCAGAACCCTTCGGAATGGGATCAAAGCCCGACGAACCCATAGTAGCTTCACTTGTCTATCCGCCAGCACCATAAAGCTGATACCGAGGCATTTGAACCGGTACCCGCTCCTCTCCTTATCAGTCGAGTGGCTTCCGCTCCTCTACTCTAGTGCCTAGTGAGACTATCCAGCTACGGGCCTTCTTTTCCAATGAGTACTCTCCTCTCGGGGGAAGGGTCTTATCGGGTGGAAAGAGGTCTTATCCGTATTACTTGCAACTGGGTACTGCCCGATTTCGTTCCCGATTAGCTCTTATATCTTATATTGGTCTATATAACTATAAAAGGGAATAACAAGCAAAAGTAAAAGCCCCTAATGGCAACTTGAGAGGCATCTTAGAGGTGCCACCGGCTGACTTCCTATCTCTTATCTGGGCTCAAAAAATACGATTCTATCCAATTTCCCTTTTAGGGTCTTCTATAATTTGCCTTTTTCAGTATCTGATCTTCACTTAAATAGTGAGCGCGGACGGAACCAAAAGTGAAGTGACTTTTGGCCCTGAAAACACAGTTAGAATTTCTTTTGTTACCGCTAAGAGTCATTTTGGGTGGCTGTCTTTCTTTTTTCTTTCTATAAAGGAAGAAGAGAAGGCTAGCGATGACTTCAAAGATCTAGCATCAGTCTAGAGATCTCCCTATGGGACCTTATGGAGAAAAACTGGGATCGCTGAAGCGGTAGAAAAATCTTGAAGAGCGAACGTTACCTTCATTCAAGCTTTGGTTCTTTATTGGTCCCCCGAGACTAAGACTTTGATTTTCCTTGGGGGAATTTCGAGGACGCGCTTTCGGATATACCGCCGTAGGCTTTTCTCCTGATCGAGAAAGAGCGTTTACCTCGCTGCTAGGAAGAGAGGAAGGAACATGAGGCATCCTTCTTTCAGGAGCTCAGACTCCAGTTCGATCGTTAGAAGGAAGGCGAGTGCGGAGGCAAAGTGAATTCTGAACGGTCTGTGCCTGAAACTGAACTCACTTCTTTTTCGATTTATAGATTTATATTAGGCATCCCCAGTTGGGGCTATGGCAGATGGATGAATTGAATTTAATGCATTGCTTCCTACTCATACTTTCACTTTGGCGAATTCCAAGCAAAAAAGGAGTGGGTTTGAAGTGGATTGACAAGATTCAGCATTGGTCTTTGGAGCGTTATAAAGCGCGCCTTCTAGTCCAAGGTTTCACTAAAGCATTTCTTTCTCATAAACAACTGCCCCGTCTGCACTTTCAAAAGACTTTTGGCCACATCCGTCAAGTATCCTGCTGCGCGCTAAGCAATAATCCGTCTCTCGAATTCTGACACCAACCTTCTCATAGGTGGAACACACTGCCGACAGATTCGTCATGGCTTCCTAACTAAATCCCTGAACCCCACAAAGGCAAAGTCAAAGCAAAACATTAGATCAAGAGATTGCTTCCAAGGCATCGGCATCTTTTCTCTAGGCCCAGATCCTTTTGTTGTTTTCGATAGTCTGTAGATAGTGCCTGAAACACCAGTAAGAAAGGCATTTATACCCGAAATAACATAAATAATGGCAATATGGAAAGCTCACACCAAAAACGAGGTCTTTCGACTTACTTGGTGGCTGGGTCAAAGCGGGATGATCGTTCTACCGCCTTGAGGTTTTGAATGAGGGGCCTTTACACTTATAAGTTAGCTTCAACTAAAAAAGGGACGGAAAGCTTCGGGCTGAGAGATTAGAATAAGTGCCACGGCTCGAGTTGCAAGCATAGACTCAGGAGGTGCTGTCCTGGGCTATCCAACAGATTGGACCAGGATTTGCTGGTTCGAGATGATAAACTGAACCTTGTGGTCCAGTTAGTCCTGACGCGTCTCCGAAAGTGGCTGCGGGATCAAGGCCTGTGAGAGCTCTCTTCGCTACGATCTTTCGGAAATCTTTCTTATTCACCTTTGTAATTCATGTTTCAATCGGCGATACACAAACCTAATCCTTTCACTGAACACCAACCCCATTTCGACGAAAAAGAAAAGCCTTGCGCTTGGATGGCGTATTTCTTTCTTTTTATCTTCCTCTCCCTATGCCTTTACTTGATAGGGGCGTCTTCAAACCTTTTATAAAATAAATGATCTGCCCTACTGTCTGTGGTAAGTCAGTCTGGTTTGCCTGTGAATCCAGCTTTCGATCGCTTACTGTACTCTTTGTTCTGTCTCGCCTTGAGCTTGCGCCTGCTATTCATTCTTTTATGCCTTTCGCCCGGTAAGGACTTAAACAATCGAAAACGGATGAAATAGCATCGGAGTCGAGAACAGCGCATATTCCAACAAGACCATCAACTGCGGGTAGGCTTCAAGCTCCTACTCATAGCCGCTCTATGTACTAATTCCAAGCACAGAGAAGACGCTATAGGTCTTTGTTGGTGTGTAGAGTAGACGGTGTTTGAAAGAACCCTTTTTTGCCGAGCAAACTAGAAATTGCATAAGAAAGGTAGGTCGGATCAACGCGTAGAGAAATGCTTGATCACGCATTGACTGGCTATTCAAATTCAAATCTTCTTCGTGCTGCTGGTAGTTTTGAAGGGCTTTGTCTTTCGATGTAGTTCCGCTTCTTCACGTGACGGAAAAAAGTAGGTTCATAATGAGAAAGGGATTTGCTCAAGCTGTTTCCATTGTGGTCGGTTCTACTGCTATTACCACTGCTGCTGCACCCTTATCCCAACCAAGCCGCAGAAAGCTGGAGATTTGGACCTTGGTGTTCGAGTGTTTGAAGCGGCAGCAGAAGAATCTTATCAAAATGGATGGACTAGTTAGGGGAGTCATTGCACAAAGATTCTATACCAATAGAATACACAATGATTCTATACAAAAAAATAGAGAGAGCCATAAGACCAGATGCCAACAACTTATGACACTCAATAGGACTCAAGCCTCCATATATATCCATCCTAGAGCTCCTACAAACCTCTCCTAAGACCAGGAAGAAGTTATTTTCTTGGCCGATGCCCAGATACCTGTAGAAAGCACCCCTACTTACCTAGAGAATGTGGTAGGAATTCTCACTGCACCGATGGCCATATCCTTCTCAAATGATGACCTACCCAATGGTAAGCTATCTCCCCATATCAGAGCCCTGAACTGAACTCTTCTTATCGGCAATCGTTCTATCTCTCGAGTTCAAAAACCCTCAACATCTGCCTATTTAGGGTTGTGGAGAGCCCACTTGATCTTTTTGTGGCTTTGCCGAAGTTATTGCTTTTTTAGTAAGGTAGGCCTAATACGAATTGAAGTATGTTGATAGCGCCAGTGAATGTGAATAGAATAATAGTAGCATGCATCCCTCCTAATTGTCAAGGTTTTCGATAGATCTTGTCTAGTAAGGCAGGCAGGTACCTAAGAGCCGGATCAAAGACCAATAGCAAGGAAATGCAACCTGAGGGGTACTTTGTGGAGATTTAGCCTGCGCAAGTTCGTTTACTCACAAAGTCTTGGTTCAAAATAGGACCGATTTGGGTATGAGGCACCTCGAAAAGGCGTGAAACCTACGAATTTTTCCCAGAGGTCTCAGAGAGTAAAAATCATAGTGAGTGGCCGAGGTTCAAATGGGTATTCGAATTGATGCAATTCCTTCTAGCCCTGAATCTGTTCATGCTAAGATCGGGAAGGACGCATCTAACAGCTACTTAGAGATGGCAAGGCAAAGGTAATCAGGGCTATTGGCCTACTCGAGACATTGAATAGTGTCTCAAGCAGCAGGCGCATTCGAGAACATCTGTGCGGGGATATCTAAACTATTGGATTCACCTCAGAGAAAGCACTTTACTGTTTGACCCGTATCCGAGGGTCACTTCTCTTAAGACAGGCCTTGGATCGCGAAGACCCGAACCGCTTCGTGGGCTGCTCCTTCTTCCTTGATAGAATAGCAAGGAACCCAGAGTCTGTGGGAGGCTTATTACTTCAACTAGTCCCCATGTTCCTCAAACGGATCTCTTAGTTGTTGAGAAGGTTGCCCAAAAGCGGTATATAAGGATATAAGGCGTACCAGTCAATAAACCAGATATAAAGATGAAAGATGGCTACTTTCGCTTCACTACGTATCTAATCTCCTAAGCTTTTGGTGCTGCTAGAAAGCGTTCAACCGGCCAGATCTACTGAATCAACAGAAAGATACATAGGTTTGAGAAAGGAAGACTCACTAACTGAGAAACTCATTTATCAGTTCGAGGTCGACTAGATCGAGATCTTCGATCAACATCCTTACTATCCATGGTAATACCCAACATGGGACCCCCTTAGACTTAGATAAGAACGACTATCTAATTCATGATGCCAATAAACCTTAGGTGCCCGTACGTACTACCCGTCATACCCTTTCACGACAGATACCGTTAGAGCGAGCGGTAGATCGAAGATAAAATATTAGACTAGAAGAAATAGGTACGAAATACATAGTTCAACTCATTTCCCTCTCCCGTTGGTCGAGTCACTTCGTACCTCTGGTGGTGCTTCCACGGGTTAAGGAGATATGAAATATCTTCCAGCAGTGAGTGTCCCGCATTGCCTTCCCGACTTAGCCTTCTTGGGCCCTTTTCATGATGGGTTTTCGGCAGTTTCCTCCAATCCTCACCCCGTTCCCTGATGGTTGGCCTACGAACTGCTTGAGTTTGTGGACTTCTAGTCTGACATCCACTGCTTGGTGTCTCAGGTCGATGTTGCTGGCCTTAGGTGGGCTTAACCCCTCTTTCTCCTCTGAAAGGTACGATTTGAATTTCTCGGTGCAGTTTCAAATAGAAATCTAAGCCAAACTAATAATAACTAATAATAGATGTAGATGCGCGTCCTTTTTAATGAAAAAGCAAAGACTTCCTGGCGAGACCCTTTCCCGCCAATACTCGAAGGGTGCTTTCTCCTCAATATAGTCTATGAGAATATGAGAACGTTTTTCTGACCAACTCTCATGGCTTTAGGAGGGGGCGGGCCCCTAAGCTAGCTCCCGCCTTCTTCCGGATTTGCTCCTAAATTCCAGCTATGATCGACCTTTCGAATGAATGAAGTTAGAAGCTAAGGGAGTGAAAGCCTTCTTTCGAAACCAAGTCGTAGTGACGAAAGGTACGAAGAGGTACGTAGTCTCTGCGCTTCGTTGAACATAGTGAAACTCATTCGGACCGCGTTCGTCTTAGAGCACCAGTCAAGCTCATCACTAGGTAACGAATGAGTCGAAACAGATGGTGATCAGAGGTGGACAGCTGGTGGAGCAAGGGCTGAGGCTTTAGTGTTTCAAATCCATTAAGCAGAATATAGGGCTGCCACCCTTTGATCGTGCATCTTCCTTACTGCCTTCTTGGGGCATTCTCTCACAGGCTGCATAGAGTCTTTGAATAAAATGACTCTCTCTGGGGACGCAAATATCTATACCTGTTCTGTAAGCCATAAGGAGAAAGTCTTCTTCAACGAGCCCTTCATCCCAAGTTATGAGGTAAGGATCTCCTTCTTGCTATGGAGGAGCAACCCACATGTGTTAGAGATTCCTAAGCAATAAGAATTCTATCTACCGGACCTTCCACTCCTTCTTGAGAGAGCAAGGCTTCAACTCCCACTCCCTATTGATTCAATTTTGATCTTGGGTGCTTGCCAACCAGCTGGATTAAGGGATTCACGCACAGGCTCTCTTCCCCTCCCTTGCTCCCGAATACGATTTAAGGATCCACCTTTGGTACCGATTAGATGGTACATATTAGAGAGATAAGAACAAGCTTGGCAGCCTTGGTGCGCTCCCCAGTTATATTCCTGTGGATGATAGCAAGCAAGGAAGAGCGAAGCTCTTCTCCCTTTCTTCAGTTGGTTCGGGACGCATTACGATAGCTAGGCCGGGTGGGATTATCTATCGGATGGTTATTCATCAAGTGGATCCTTTGCCCCTGACCTATGAAGTTCGTTTCACTTTCACTTTCTTTCACTTAGAGTTGATAAACGAAATGAGTTACACTCATTTGAAACGGCGACTACGTACCTTTCAGTCGAGTCACTTCGTACCTCTTTGACTTAGGAGTTCCAGCGGCCAATTATGCGACAATATAGGCTGAGCGAGAATAGCATAAGTGTGTTATTAGCATTTGAAAGAACAAGGTTTGGCAAGTAAACGAGGAATTTCTTACAGTAAGATAGAAAGCAGGCTAGTCTCCGAAAATGCCCCGGACCGTGTCGTTTGGAACAAGTAAGATTTCTCAGGGTAGAAGGCCTTTCCTTGAAAGCGAGAAGGACTCCGCTTACTCACCAGGTTGACAGCGGCGGCGCGGCTACCCGAAATAAAAAATTGCTCTACACAGAGCGCGGATAAATGAAAATTTCGTATTCTAGTTGCAGACAATAAAGTAGCTGTGACGTGAACTGCGCTGTGCTCATCAAAGTGTTGGCTGCACCGAAATCCCATTCCCTTTTCCTTTGTGAGGAAAGCCCTCACCTTCTCTCTTCCAACCAGAATGCTTTTAGGCGTTCTGGTTTTGCTTATGCACACCGGGCTGCTTAGTCGGAATAGGCAAGCGGTGTGCTAGAGGAATACATAGATCAATTCGAGATGAAACGTCAGTTTGCAATTTACCAATATGGTTCGCAGTTTTATCCAACCGCTCCCACTCGTTATTCACCCAGCGATTGGCTTGAGTTTTCCTTTTCGGAATCCTCGCCATCAGAAATAAGTACTTCTATAGGGGCCCCACAGGTAGGCACTAGTAGTTCCGCTTCTGAGTCCGATGCATCATTCACTGAGCAGCTTTCCCGTGAAGATCTTTTTCAAAAGATTGCTAGTGAACTACAGCATCGGATGAATGACACTTCCTGACGGTATCGATTTGAATTATTTTATCCATTACAACTTGCTTGGCGAAGAAGAGGTGGGGGCGCTAGACCCCTCTCTTCTAGCCGAAGTTCTCACTGATTTACAACTTCCCAGTCCAATTATCAGTTGGTACTGGGAGGAAGCCTTCAACTCCATACTTTTATTGCACGGTTGGATTTTATAACGTACAGCCAGTAATTGTAAATTTCGGATAAGTTTCAAGTTATAACATAGCCCGACGTCAAGGTGAGACGCCCAGTCCAGCTCTTTAAGAAAGAAGGTTCGTCCTAGCTTAGTCGAAGTCTAAGGCAAAACCAGAATCCCAACAGTGCTAAGCTAGTAGGATTTCCTCTTGGAAAGAAAAGACTAGATAAGCTATCCAATCAGTAGACAGGCTGGTAACTCTACGAGGTACGCAGTAACTCGACTGTAGGGATCCCGTAGAAAGCCTTCTCCTAGAATATAGAATCATTGAACGGAGGATAACAGCCGAGAAGGATATGAAAGACTACGGTTCAAAGCTTCCGAAGGAACTAGCTAGAGCGGGATCTGCTGAACCTGAGGGAATAAGGAAAGAAGCAAGCTTGGGTGCTTTATTTCTTTTTGCTTGTAGCATGATATGTAGGCTGAACACAAACCCAATCGAAGTGAAACTCTCCTTTCCTTACTTGTTCCAAGTAAGAGAATTGGCATTACCTTCGAAAGGTAGGAGCTAAAATCCGGCTCGGTTAGGGTAGACCCAGGGAAAGAGCTGTGCACAAAGGCTCACCGGCGATCATACCATTGAATAGGTTTCCATGACCCGTACATAAATCGGGGCAGGGACAGGCTCCTCGAGCAGATACCATTACAATGGAGAAGCTCATCTTCCCATTACCGGCGGAGAACTCAAGGGCTCCAAACTCCTTAGGTCTTGTTTTGTAAGCTTGAAGCTTTGAAACCTGTCGAAATGAACTTACCACTCCACTAACCTAAGCTTACCAGATCAATTTCATCACTACCGAAACCCGTACCGTACACGCCGCTTTCTCGGCTTCCCCTCTTTCCGACCCTCCCCGTACGCTTTGAGGGACTGAGCCTTCGGATCCCACCCTTTATTGGTCTTCTTTCCGCTGTCGCTGAGAAATGCCCTCCTTTTGGCATCGCAGAACCGAGACAGATGGTTTTGGTAACATTTCTATTCTGTATAAAAACCGCCTTATCAGTGGATCTCTCTACGTCCTATCGTACCTCTAGCAAACAATAAAGATGAACTTCGAGCTGCTGAACCGATGTTCTTGCTTTCCTAATCTAATCCAAGACCAAGGTTCTTTTTACTTGCTTACTTGGAACAAGTAAGGAATGGAATGCTTAATACCTCTACAATGAATTCGTATAAAAGAACTTTATACAGCCCTATAAGGTGAAGCAGGATTTTTTTAAGCTACAGGTTTAAGCTTTCAAGCCAGAGCTAGTCTTCTTCCTACCAGATCATTAGACTTACCATAATAATGCAAACATAGTATCGAAACCTTTCAAAACTATTCTTCTTGGTGATAGAAAATTTTGTTATTTATGGCATCATATCCATAGTTAGCGCATTCATCATAGTTCGCAGCTCCAGCTCCATATCAAGGTCACGCTCGATATCGTCACTAGTAAAAAACAAAAGCCCCTTAGCTTTGTTATTAAGGAACTTGTTCAGAAATACCCTAATATAATAAAGGGAACATAGGAGTTTGTCGCTAGGTATTTGACCAAATAAGATCGTCCAATACCCGAACTCTTGCTTTTCTTTTGCAAGTATAATAAATTGAAGGACAGCTTTTTTGGAAGTAGTAATTCTTCCATGCCTTACGGATAGAAAAGAGTATGACGTCCCTATGACTCCTTAAGGTAGTTTTCACTTATTCTAACAAGTAGAAAGTAACTTGAGATAGGGAGAGATTTTCATAAAAATGGTGTCAGCAAGTTTCAATATAGTTCACATATCAGCTCTATACAAGAAGGGCTCGTAAAGCGAAGAAGAGAGCAATGGATCGACTAAACTAGAAATATCGTAATCGTATATAAATAGAATCTTACGCCCAAAGATTCCAGTCCTTTCTGTTGGTCAACAACCATCAGCAATATCCTATCCCTTGTGTTAGTTAGAGTCAAACTAAAAAGTCCTTCCTCATTTTTTTTTGGGGGGAGCGGAACCTTTTGAAGAAAGAATCTAAATTTATCATGTTTGAGCAGCTTTTCAAATTACTGGATAAGCATAGCGTGTTTATAAAAAGATTAATAGGCTCTATTCTCTTATATTTAATATATACTTTTGTTGTCCACCATCATACTCTTTATAAAGTAATGCGCTGGAACAACCGCAGTGGTTTGTTTTGTTCCCAAGTGCATGTGGGACATGATGGGACAACACTGTGGTTCCAAGCCATACCCAAGGAAGTGGGTACTGCGGGACCCACAGATAGTTCTCTCTTTCTGGGGGATCCATTGATCACCCTTTTTTCTATGGATCCTTTTGTAATTTCGCTCATGATCATGATCGCTGTGTTATTGATTTTTATTTTATTTAGTAGCAAGAAAGAAGATGGAAAGAAAGAAGATGGAATAACGGGTTGTGGATCATGGAAGCCGAAGTGAATACTTTTGAAATATGGAGTGATAACATTTGAATTTCTCTTACATTCTTCGTTCCCGAAATGGATCCTATTAAATATTTCACATTTTCTATGATCATCTCTATTTCAGGTATTCGGGGAATCCTCCTTAATAGACGAAATATTCCTATTATGTCAATGCCAATTGAATCAATGTTATTAGCTGTGAATTCGAACTTTTTGGTATTTTCTGTTTCTTCGGATGATATGATGGGTCAATCATTTGCTTCATTGGTTCCAACGGTGGCAGCTGCGGAATCTGCTATTGGGTTAGCTATTTTCGTTATTACTTTCCGAGTCCGAGGGACTATTGCTGTAGAATCTATTAATAGCATTCAAGGTTAAACATGACTCCTAGAGAGTGACCAAAATACGAAGTTCTCTTCTTTCTTTTTGATTTTGAGGGTCAGCCGATTCTAAAGTGCTTTCTTCAACCACTTCCCGTTCAGTTGCTGAAAGATAGATAGAAATAAGGCTTTCTAAATGAGATTGAGTTCGCAGGCTATAAAGATGCTATTTGCTGCTATTCTATCTATTTGTGCATCAAGTTCGAAGAAAATATTAATTTATAATGAAGAAATGATAGTAGCTCGTTGTTTTATAGGCTTTATCATATTCAGTCGGAAGAGTTTAGGTAATACTTTCAAAATGACTCTCGACGGGAGAATCCAGGCTATTCAGGAAGAATCGCAGCAATTCCCCAATCCTAACGAAGTAGTTCCTCCGGAATCCAATGAACAACAACGATTACTTAGGAACAGCTTGCGAATTTGTGGCACCGTAGTAGAATCATTACCAATGGCACGCTGTGCGCCTAAGTGCGAAAAGACAGTGCAAGCTTTGTTATGCCGAAACCTAAATGTGAAGTCAGCAACACTTCCAAATGCCACTTCTTCCCGTCGCATCCGTCTTCAGGACGATATAGCCAGAAGGGTTCACGTCTTAGTGGGGAAAAGATTTAGCCCCTGGTGTATCTCGAAAGCAGAAAGAGTAGAACTAATTCGAGAGAGCTTGGTGGTCTTAAGAATGGTTCGGGTGGGGGATTCTTCTAAAATCAAGTGAAAATGCCATGGAATTTTGAATGTTTGGTCTGGATATGGATAGTATAGTACTGACTATGCATAGGACTACCCAAGTGAAAAGACAGGATGTATTCCGACGAAATGCTATGGATTCTAGGCGGACTATAATGAGGAGGACGACAGACCCATCCCATCACGATCTCCTCAAAGGAAAGCATCTAAGATTCATAGTTTGGTCCCGAGGAATTCAAGAGCACTCACCTCACGAGGACGTTTGTGATAGCTGTTAGTGGACAGGGTTTGATCCCTTACCAAGTTGTTACTAACTAACAGGGGTAGGAGACTGACTGAACACCCACCCTAGTTGGTGACTGGCCATATGAGGGTCCAAAGCCTTGTTTTATTTTATAAAAGTGGGAAAACAAATAAAAAAGAAAAAGAAGTAGCCAACCTATAAGAATCTGGTCTCTCAGTGACTTCCTTCGTATAAGCTGGTAAGGCGGATACAGAGGCCATTCCCTAGCATGAATTTTTCAATCAAAGATAGCAGCTAAAAAGAGCGCATCTACAAGAGTCAAGTAGATCAAATCACTAACCTAAGTGGATAAGGGAGGATTACAATAGCATGTAAACGGTCAGATCCGAACAGTGGAATGCGGACTCGGTGATTAGACAGAGAGATTCCTCTTACAACGGTTTAGGCTCCGTCTTCTATTATATATGTGACCGTCAAGGGCCTCACTAGCCATTTCATTTCATTTAGTCCATGCCAAGAAAGAAAGTAGAGCGGGAAGAGGGACGAAGGTAGCTGGAAGACTCAACAAGATATGTACGATTCAATGAGGCTACAACCATAAAAGCAGTCCCTGGCTATACGACAACACTGGTAGGCCGGCCGTTATGCTTACGTTATGGTTAATACATGAACTGATATACCGGCGTCCACATTCAATCGCTTTAGAAGACTTGCAAGAATGAAACTGAACGAATATCAGACTGAGAGATTTCAACTTCTCAAACAGGATACCCTCGATCTCCTAAACCGACAGAGCGCCACAATTTTCCTCTCGGGAAAAGCGACCGGCGTGCCGCTGATGCGGCGCGTTGCCGGGCTTTCTGTTTTAAATAAGAAGGTACAGAAGGCACAGACTTCCATGTTGGGATAAAGCGTAATCCCTGTTTGAAAGGAATCGTCGCCATATCAGGTACATACCGATCCAACAATGCTTTAGCGCAGCTAGTCAATCTTTCAGCTACTGCCAAAGCAGAGAAGTAATCGGTAGGAGTCACAACGGTTTCCAGGGTTTTCCTCGTTACTAGAGGGAAGTTGAAGCCATTCTGAGCAAGCGCAAAGTTGGTTGTCTAAATCTCCCTCTGTAGCTTCTGTTGCTGTAGAAGAAGAAAGAATAGACGGATAGATTGCTTTTTTGGGATCAATTCTTGGATGACTGAGAAGCATTCTACCGGCCAAGGTTGATGAAAGAATAGAGGAATTACGCTAAACTCAGACTACATTGTCTTACTTCCTCCGTTCCTTCACTTCAGTCTTTGTCTAGAACCAACAAAGAGGCATTAAGGAGGAGTGCTGGATTCAAGCCCAGGGGTGGTAATAAGTTCCGTACATACTTACGAGCCCCTTATCTCTATTTAGATGATGATCGTCTTCTCACCTTAGTACACGGAAGACTGACTGAATCAGACAGTTTCACATAATCTTACTTCAAGGGTCGTTATGAGGTTAGGTATAGAAAGAGTTCGAAGTGCATTTTCGAAAAAGATTCATTCACAAGAGAGAGAAGAGAAACTAGATAACTACGTGACTTAAATATGTAAATTTGAGTTATTCCGTTACGACTTTTCTGCTAAAGTGGATTGGTCTATCTTTTATTAGATAGAAAAGCTTTCTCCTATCTTTTATGTCATTTCGCGGACTTTATTTTCTCTCTTGGATTGGTATCTTTTCCCGTGCTTGTTTGCACTATACATCATAAAAGCCTAAAAACAAGGAAACCCGCTTGTTTTGTTAGAACGAATGGTTAGGTCTCGCAAGAGACACTACTAACTTGCCTCCTTCACGATTCAAATGCTCTTCCTTCTTTCGCTTGAGTAGTTTTCAATATCTTACTTATTATAATAAATGAAGCGAGTGAATCTTATTTTGGGTTGTAGGCCCATTTCGGTATCGTGCTAGTAAGGTAAGCGGCTAGGCAGCTTTTGAATGCGTCCCTGCTATCCTGAGAAAATTGATGATTTCTCTTTCTTCGTTGAGGGCCTGACCTTGTTGAGTCAATGTGGATCCGTAGCCTTTCTTCGCTTGCCTTTGTTTGGAATTTAATTCCTCCCGGTTTAGTATAAGAGCTTTTCCGCATCAACCTAAGCCCGACTAGGTGAGAAGCAGTGTCAATTCGTTTATAATAGAAGACCTTTCCGCCAATGCTTCTCCTTGACCGGGAATATGAATGAAGTTTGAGTTTGTTTTTGCCCTTGGATTAATCACTCACTGGACGGATCGAAAGGCATACGACAGGTGAGGCAGATAGATCAAGCTTTCTATGGGGTAAGACCACTCATATCCGATAACAGAGATGTTGATGACTCCGAGATGGACGACCGGATCGGCAACGGACGTTGACGAGCGACATCCCTCCATAGCTCAGTGAAGTCTATCAACGAGAGCTGTCACGCTAGCGCTTGATCTCTTTCTGAGCGCTGTGCTCTATCTCCGTAGTTCCCTACAGCACCCTTGCTTGAGTGCTCTGCGCGCGATTGCTTTCTTATATAGCTAGCTTCTTTCAAAAGTATCTCCTTACTAGCTTAGAGTCACCCAGGAACTATTCCTTAGCTACCAACCTAGCTTTGAGACGACCGTAAGGGTAAATACTTCACCGCAGTTTCAATCCATCCCATCGTCACCCAAGAGCACGCTTTCCGGATAGAGGCAGAATACCGTAGCCAATCCAAAGATAAGATAAAGTCCAAGCTTTCTTAGTTACCTTTGTACTGGAAGCTGGATCATACGAACCAGCAATGGCCTTAAGCTTTCTCTTCTCTCCAGAACTCTCGGACTGAGAATATTGCTGCAAGAAAGCAAGCTTAGGGGGGCTTGGAATATTTCGTTTTGCTATTCGGCGAACCATACCCCTAGGAGATCCGGCTGCCCGATCCATCCACTCCTTAAAAAGGGGCTACTTTCGTGTAATTCATGACTATGCTGCCACTATTGAATCAACGGTAGGCCGATGCCAGATAAGATGAGGAATGATCACAGGCATAATAACGAGAAAGAACGCTAAAAGGGTGGTCCACGATCAGGTCCCTAACGGCCGCCATCCTCCAACAATTGTTGGTTCCTTAGACAAGTAGTATGATAGAACCACGTGCTCTAGAAGCCGCCTTATCAGCGGAGGGACAGATAACCCCTACCCAAGTTTTATATTGACGTATTGGAGTCAAGTACACAGCGAGTAGGGTCAGATCTCACCTTTTTAGATTGGACATACCAGAAAGTTGAGAGAAAAAAAAAGCCTAAACCGTCACTCCTCTAGTTTCGTCGTCTTATTACTAACCCGGATTCAATAGCAGCTCTGCTGAACTACTGGAATGGTAGGTGAACGAAGGCGAGGAGTTCAAGTATGCAAGAGGCCTTGGCTACACGGTGATACCACTCTCTGGCTACCTCTTTGAGATGAGGGAAAGCCCCTTCAAAGGCTTTGTTAGCTCACTCTTCGAGAGCAGGTTAGAGGCCAGGAGGTCTGGTAATGATGCATTGGCCTATGTGTACAAGATTCTTATGAACACGCTCTACGGTAGATTTGTTTACGCCTCCTCGTGAGAGACAGGATCTCTTGGTTCGTCGACGTCTGAACAACGGGGTCGAAAGCCTCTGTGAAATATTCCCTTGTCTCTGTAGTTCTTTTTTCGGCGAATCCTTCATCTGACGCCTCATTTGGTCTAGAAAAGAACCTCAGGCCCGGGGTAGTTCCTCTTTCTCTTTGGCTCGCATACCTATCTATGCTCAGCACTAACTTGACTTTATGATCATAAACTTTATAGCTAATGGGACTGGGCATGATTCTCTTTTATATATACAAATATCTAAACCTCCCTTTTGCGCGACCCTTGCCTCTAGCGCAGTGCGTTAAAGCGGCCCTTCTTTATCTTAATCTTCGTATTTGGAATCTACTTAACAATCTTCGGCTTGAAAAGCCTTGTTCCGGATCAATGCTATCTTATGTTATAAATGCATAGCCATAAGCCATACTTAAACAGTGCAAATGAACCTCGATGAAACTTCCTCCTATGCCTTATCGGGCGAACCCGTGGGTTATGTTTTGGTGTCAACTTAAAAAAATGTTGATTTCCATCAATTGCTCTTTTTCTGGGAGCAAGGGGTCAACCTAGGATCAAGACTCCAGGGGCGAATAGATATAGTGTTACAACCGGTCCTCGCGCGTCTTACCCTTCAAGAGGTCCTCAACTAGCATTTTTGTTTACGGACACTTGTAGGCCTTCCCAAGGTGAAATGCCATAAGTAAGTAAAGAGTGAGCAGCCTTCACAGGCAGCATAGGCTGCGAAGTTCTATCTTAGATAGTATATGGCGTACAGCGCTAAAGGAACACATATCCATTTCACGAAGAGACCAGGGCTCGGTCGGAAGAAGAGGTAGCTAGGTGCTCTAGTTGTGCTACAGCCAGTCATGGGCCGGAAATATATCAATTCGCCTATAAGACATCTAATAGAATTGGTACTTTTTTACCATTGAAACGGCGCTTTTTCTTTAGTCAAATCGGTCTCCCGGAGCTTCTTTGAAAGCTATTGTTCTCCTGAACAGGACTATTGGCAGGACATCCTTCTTTATGAAAGCAGGCTATACTTCGCGAGCCAGGCTATAAAGCTAAATAGATGCGTGTGAAGCCACGAAAACAGATCCACGTGGTGATGAATCAAAAGTCGATTCCTGCTTGGAGCTTCACTCGTACGCCCAAAGCCAACCCTTCGCTCTTTGCACACGGAGTAGCCTTTTCAGTCATGAAGAAGCGGTTTCGAGACATTTACTGAAGGCTTTTCTTTAAATCCCCCTCTTACAATTTCAAACTCTTTTTTTCTTCCTCTCCTTATCAGTCGAGTATAGTATCTTCTAACCTCGGAACGAATGCTTTAATCCGCTTTTGTGAGAATAGCTAAAGTAGAATCTCTTTCTTTTTGGAGGGTTCCGGAATTGATAGAGTCAATATAAATAGAATATATATAAAATCGCCAAATCGTTATCTTATCTTTGTCTAGAGTAAGTTGGTGTGAATTCAACTATGGTAGAGGATCTACAATCATTAGCTCTGGTTCACAGGCAAGTAGTGAGTTTCACTCTTGAGAGATAGCCAGATAGTTGAGCTACCCGTAGCAGTCGTAAGGTAAGGCCTCTTTAGTAGCACAAGACAAGGCATTCGAGCAAAGACATGAATGAAGCCTAGCCTTTAGTTCACTTGCAAAAGAGAAGGCCCAGATAGAGTGCCTTTTTTTATTTATACAACGTCCTGACTCGAAAAATTCATTGATCAAAGATCTCACCTTACTCGTTAAAGTAAGCAAGTAAACCCTAAAAGTGCACAAGAGCTAAGCCTACTTCTCTAGCTACTTTCCTTACTGATTATTACTACTGTGCTTCGTCGTAAAAGAAAGGTCTACTTAGGAACAGGGGAAGCGATTGAAGAATAAGCCAAATACTCATTGCAGGGTGGCGCTGGACTAGGGCTTACTCGGCCTCATAGATCATGATGGTCAAGCCCTTTCTGTTGAAGAAGAAAGAGATTGACGAGTATGAAAGATGAGACAATCGATTTGGACCAATACGTATTCAAATTTCGATTTAGGCAGTGAAAGAGAAAGGAGATGGTCGAATGATCCCTATTTAGGTGAATCAAGATGGTATGAATCCCCACGTGGTGGACTTGATCCTTCATTTTGGGTACGTAGGAAGCCAGCTAAGTTTACGCATTGGGTGCCTAAGACTGAGTTCACGAAAGAGCTAATACTTGGCTAAGACTTATTGAGAAGGAATGGTAAGACGCTAAAGGACGCAGAAAACGGATCCAAAACGGACTTTTCAGGCTCATATGGTAAATCACCCATAAGGGAGGGCTATCGCACAAAACTACATAAGAAAGTGTACCATTCTGGTGTCAATCCCATGTCAGCCTAAACCTTGTTGTGGATTGGTATATCCCTTCATCTTCAGCCCACGGAGCGGTAAGCGCAGAAAACAAGCTAAGCTAAAGCAGGGAAAGCGCTGGAGCCCGGAAAGTCTGTAGCTACTAAACCCCCAGAAGTACCAGTCGGATTTCCTTTTTGGCCTACCAGTTGGAAGAGTTCTCCAGGTGTGGTGAATCTACTACATCTAAAATCCCTATTCCTGGGCATGGCTTTTAGCGACTTTAGCAGTATCATAAAACGGCGGAAAGCTACTACACCCTAAAATCCAGTATAGACTCAACACCCTAGCGGAAATATAGGAATAGGCAAAAATAGAATGTTCTCCTTCGACCTAGCTCTGTTTGTGAATCCAAGGACAGTATTCACACTGATAGATTGACTATATACACATGGATGGACTGTTTGACTCAGCCGGTAAGACGAAGAGAGGTTGCTCTAAATCAAGAAATTGTCCGAGTCAGAAGCATACTACCTTTGTGCCCTAGCCCCTAAGCTATTCTTAGTCCTGAGTGAGAGCTTTACTATTCGATTATGCCTTCAATGGCTTATTCCGAATCTTCCTGTTCCGGGCATTGACTCATTGATAGCACCTTTGGGATAGAGGAAGGTTCTGCGGCTTACTACCATGAGGAAAAATCTCCAAGAAAAGTATCTGATTCTGGGTCTGGTTCTGTACCTTACCCTTACTACTATCAACTTCGAATATATTGTTGCAACTCAAAATTATTTATATAGGGCAACTATCGAATACTAAAGCGTTCCCCTTTGATTCTTATTATCTGTGTTCGCCCTTGGATGACACTTTCGAAAGCATATATCCACGAGAAAGAAGTTCCAGAGGGGCGTGAAAGTATCGAAATGCGTGTGCGGGCATTGTTTGCTGCTACCTTGGAACTCCTATTGAGTAAAGCAGTCAATATTATGACTGGCAAAGCAACTAAAGCACCGGAGCTCTTCTAACCAAAACCTATTATAAAGGAATACAAGGTCAGTCGATACGAGACTTTTGATGCCCTAAAAAGTACTCATCAAAAGGTGCAGCCCTTTAGGGTTATAAAGTAGGGGTAACCTAGTCTTTCTCTAGTGGGGATACAATCCTTTATACTAGAGTGGATATATCATAATCCGGAGGTCTGGCTTCGACAACCTGTACCATCTATGGCCATGACGCCGGTACTGGAGCGACAACGTCGGAGTTACCACTAGCACAGACAACTATTCCGAATTATGTATATATCCTCGGTTGACGATCTAAGACATCAAAAATCTTAGAGAATGAAAATTCAAAATTACTACCCTCAAGAACCGAACTTACAAGAATCCCCTTCAGGTAGGGAGAGAGGGGCTTCCCCCTCCCTATCCACCACTCTAAAGGTTGCCAGTCTTTCCCGATTGGTGACGAAGCCTCTTTCCGGGGCATGACTCCCATTGGGGGCTTGTCCAGCATTCGCTGGATCCTCTTATATCTCCTGCTGATAGTAGGAGAATCCATACGAGCCCGAACACGGAAACCCGCTCCCGCAAACTGAAGCACGGCGGTTTTATCCATCCCATACTTAGCTGCAAGCTTACAGTAACCTACTAGAGAGTTAGACGCCATAATTGCACGAGCAGATACTGGAGAGAGGTCCTTTTGGATCCCATCTACCCAGAACTGCTTCGCGAACTCTATCGCCCCAGTTTTCGACCTAATGGACTTTGCGTCCGAGATCTTTACCTGAAGCTGGCTTCAAAGCCTAACATACTCCTGCGCCACTTGCTCGTCGGCGATTACAATATCATCACCTAACAGAGCGTATCGAGTAAATGGATACCTCCGATTTGGATTTACACGATGGGCCGCCATCCACACCACATAATGGTGGGACAGCGCGAAGAGAGCCCAAGAGCCGGCCGTAGCCCAATGGCTGTCCAACAACGAAACACAACTGCCTTGGTTTTCCCTTAATGATAGGGAAGCCCAAGTAAGCTGCATTTAAGGCTAGACAACCATGAACTATACACGAAGCCATAGTTGGTCCGAAAATGCACGCTACTAAATAATGCATAATGGACACAGGCCACCGGTCGGTGGCTGAACTCAAGTCAAAAGAGTAACACTCCTTTGGAGCCCAGCGTGATAACCGATGGATGGGTCCCACCTGATGATAGGACCCATCTGATGGGAGTCGGCTTAAAACCGACATAGCCCAATCGTGTACAGGGCGGAGAAGACGCTGTTTTACATAGTTACACCTATGACAAACAAACGCCTTTTCCCGGCACCTTCAATAACCTGAGCAAACCTACCTGGACGAAGATACACACCCTCATAAGCACTAGCCAATTGATCAAAGACCAAACCGGGGTTGTGCTCATAAAAGCGCAAATCCTCGTTTGCAGCCTGGGTATTAGACTGAATATCTAGGGGCCATAAGACCCTTTTGACAAACATTATCCCAGGACCCCTCCCAAGAATGAATCAAACGCAATTGCAAAGCGAAGGCTGCTACCTCGTATTTCAACGATGTGAATACGTTGGGCTCGATCAAATACAAATTGTTTGTCACTGTTAGGAAGAGATTTCCATGTCGGCATCCACCTAAGTCCCTTATTTAATGGGATGGTGGAGATCCAAGGAAGGTCAAGGGATTGGAGACGCGGAAATACCGCTTTCAGTTCTCCCAAAAGTTCCTTTACCAGGCCCACATCACCGATAGGAGTTGTAATCGAACTTAATGTGGAAGCCCTAACCGGCTTCACCTCCATCACAATCCGAGACAACGAGAACCACGATAAGTCAAGCTTTACCAAACGATCACCCCTCTCTCCCCGGGCACCTATAATGGCCCTGTGATGAGACGGTATAATCGCCGGAATCCCGGACCTACTCAGTTTGACCGCTGGTCCAGACATACAATGTAAGCGCTCCTTCTCTTCACCAGCATAGAATCGCATTAAGCTAACTCCACACTGTTTCAGATAAAGAGCGGCAAACAAATAGCCAGACTTTCGAACCAAACGGAGAATCTCTCTTGCAAGAACAATCGTTACAACACCACACTCACGGTTGATAGACCCAGTACAGACTCAGGTAATTATGATTAGAAACGACCTGAGTCTGCTCGTTCTTATCTATAGATAACGCAAGAGATCACTTATGACCTCGCGGATGGAGAGGGATTCGAACCCCCGGTATTCCTATAAATACTTCGGTTTTCAAGACCGACTCTTTAAACCGCTCAGACATCCATCCCCTTCGCGCTTCGCCCGCCCTCTCCGTCCTTAGCTGGCAGGTAGGGGCTTATCTATGTGATTCGCAACGCTTGCTTGCGCCTATCGGCGGATTCTATTGCCTGCCGGTTAGCGACACTTTTCCGGTAGTACGAATCGCTACGCTTCGCCTGTTTCTATATGATAATATGCATCTTGGTTGCTGCGCTCCCTGCGGGTAATAGCAAGAGAGACCAGAATAAGGATTCTCCAAACAAAAAGAGTGATTGAGCCCGACTCAAGCGAGTGAGTGAAAGGCGTGGCAAGAGAGCAAGTTCGACTCGCGAACGATCAGCAAGTGAAGGACCGATCCTTTTGCGCCAATACTGTTGCGAGACTGGTACTTGGCGGCTCACGAGCAACATATAGACTCAGGTTGCCCCCTCGCTCTTTTTTGAAGGCCTTTGTCCCCTATCGAAACTCGTGTTTTTATTAACCAACAACACATGCACTTTGTTGGCACTAAAAAAAAGGTGATTCAATCCACTAGTGCAACTGAAGGAATTACCTATTCTTAACCGATAACCACTGCTTGTGAACAGCTCTCCTAAACTGAAGGCGCACCTACTCTTACTAGAAGTAGAGTCTCTCTCAGCTTTCGATCTCTAACTCACTTACTTACTTAATAGGCCGGAAGAGATCTATTCAGAAAACCCGATTTCCTGTCTTAATAACCTGACTCAAATGAGAAGCGGTTAAGAAGACCGAGATATCACTTGACTTTGATATCCAGATTTGAACTGGACTTCAACGTCTTTGGATCCTGCTTACAACTCGTTTCACTCCACTTTCACTGGCAATATCTAATTTGATTTTCCGGAATCCTTGCTCCTGGCTTATATTCACATAGGCCACTCATAAGAAGAAGACGTTCAACTCCCTAAAACACGTGTAATTGAGAGAGTAAGAATATCAGTGCCTTGGGTAAATGCCTACCTTCAGGAGAAGATTACCGAATGAGTTTTGTCCTCTGCGCTTCCCAAGATAGGGAGAAGGGCAATGTCGGCCACCGCTTGCTGACGACGGAACGCATCGTCAATTGAAAAGGGTCCTCGCCCAAATCCCATTCTATTTTGATTCAGAACATAAACTGGCATAAAAGCTGTCATGCGTTTATTAAGATGAAAGGTATGGGATTTTATTGAATAGTTTACTAAGCCCCTTGTTGTTAGACGCGCAGGAGTTTTCTTGCTCGTTAGCGCTAAACTAATCCGCTTGTCAATTCTTGGTGTAATACTCACTCGGAAATGATTGGTGTCAGAATGTCGGGAAAAATGATCCTAACCTATACATTACGATTCCCAAGTTCTATTGACCCTGT